CAAGCTGCCACGAAGCGCGCCAATCGGAGCATCGGGGCATTGATACCCAGGCTAGCCTGGCATCAATTCCCATCAATTCAACCGCATTGCCGGATACATAACCCCTGACTCGCGGGTGGATTCAGGATCAGGATCAAGACAGCAAACAGCATGGCGGGTCAGGTTATCTATGTCAGTGGGATGAAAATGGCTGGGATGTCTTGGTCAATATTGAGAACGTGAGGTCACTGGCACGGCTTCAACAGAGCAAACTAACGAGCTCACATCTTCTCCACCAACTCGGGCCATTGTCGACCGCGCCGCGGGACGCCATGCAGAATATGGGGCGCTCGTCCCCGCCGTCGACCCCGCCGACTGGGCACTGGCTCGTTGGCCGCTTCTCCGCATCTTGAGTACACGCGCCTCCGCTCCGGCAAACGATCCTATCATCGGCGCGGGTCCTGTCTGGTACAGGGCCGATAAAACGCGTTGGTTCCTAACACCTCGGTCTCAGCAACTGATCTCTCTCTGGTCTTCTTTCTCATAAACATATTTCTTGCTGTTGCTCCAACCATGGCCACCTTTACGAAACTCACAGACGAGCAGCAGCCCGTCATCTCGGTCAATTCTAACCACAAGATTGCCAAGATTGAAGACAACACCTATGGCGGCTTCACTGAGTGAGTTTCCGCTTCGCGCACGTCAGACCATTAGGCCCTGTGACTGATGTTCGAACCAGGCACATGGGCCGTTGCATCTATGGCGGCCTCTATGACCCAGGCAGCCCTCTGTCTGACGAGAATGGCTATCGCAAGGACGTGATCGAGGCCTTCCAGGAGCTCAAGTGCCCCGTTGTGCGCTATCCCGGCGGCAACTTCATCGCGACCTACCACTGGCAGGACGGCATTGGCCCTCGCGAGAAGCGGCCCAAGAAGTGAGTGACGAGACCGAAGCAGAGAATTGGGGAGTCGAGAAATTGACGCGACGAAGGCAAGAGCTTGCGTGGCACGGAATCGAGACAAACGAGTTTGGTACGGATGAGTTCCTGCGATGGTGCGAGGTCGTCGGCACCGAGCCATACCTGGCGCTCAACTTTGGCACGGGCACGCTTGACGAGGCTATGGGTTGGCTCGAATACTGCAATTCGACGGCCGACAGCCATTACGCGAACCTCCGGCGACAGAACGGCCGCGAAGAGCCCTACAACGTCAAGTACTGGGCGCTGGGCAACGAATGCTGGGGCCCGTGGCAGGTCGAGCAGATGACCAAGGAGGACTATGCCAAGAAGGCATGGCAGTGGGCCAAGGCGCTCAAGCTCCTCGACCCGAATGTGCAATTGATTCTCTGCGGCATGGAGGGCCCGACATCTTGGGACGCCTACGTTACCAAGGAGTGTATCAACTACACAATGCATGCGCTCGGAGACAACTCAGCCTCGTGCCTCATTGACATGCACAGCATTCACATCTACACAGCGTCTCCTGAGCACCTCAAGAATGCGACGGCGCCGCGGTCTGCCGAACGTGCCATTGAGATCACGGCCAGCCTCATTGATCTTGCACGAATCGAGAACAAGATCCCCAACAACATTCCTCGCCAGAAGATATGCTTTGATGAGTGGAACGTCTGGGATCCCGTAAGAGCGCCGGGCTGGCTTGGCGCTGAGGAGAAGTACACCTTGTCAGACGCGCTCGCTGTGGCCGTCTGGCTCAACGTCTTCATCCGCCAGGCCAAGTACATCGGCATGGCAACCATTGCGCAGTCTGTCAACGTCATCTCCCCTCTTATGACGACCAAAAACGGTCTCCTCAAGCAGCCGACGTGGTGGCCCCTGCTGCTTTTCAGCAAGCATATGCGCGGCCAGACGATCGGCGTCAATGTCCAATGCGGCGAGTACGAGGGTCAGACAAAGCCCGAATGGATTCGCGGCACCATTGAGACACCATGGCTCGACGTCAGCGCGTCCATCAACGACGAGGGCATCGTATCGCTTGTCGTTGTCAATATCCACGAGACCAAGAGCTTCGCGACCAAGCTCGAGGGCGTCTCCGGCAAAGTTGACGTCTTCACGGTGGCGGGCCCGAGCATCGACGCCGTCAACACGGAGGAGAAGGAAGAAGTCGGTATTGCCGAAAGTTCCTGGGATGGACAGGGCCTGTATGAGTTCCCGCAGGCGTCCATGACCATGCTGCGGTGGAAGCCATGAGCGAATGGCGTGCCTGTAGTGCAGAAGGATGATACCACAGCGTGAGGGGGAGCTAGGCGAAGAATAAATCATTAAAATTGTAAAGTGTTTCATCGTGAGTGATCCGAGTTCTATCCTGGTTTCGATTCTACAGGCCTTCCTGGTCTTCGGAAGGGGTGCGCCTCGGTATTAAATACGTAATCGTCGAGGCTAAGGAGGTCCTCTGGTGAGAATAGGAGGTAAAAGTATTTTAATGTTTCGGCCGTCCAGAAGCTCTGTGGTAGAATCAGCATCAAGGAACAAGAAATGAACAGTCATAGCACTCTTACCTCCATTGAGTCCAGCTTCTGGGTGTCGCCGTTCACCATCACGTCAGCAATGGCTGAGTAGGCGAACTCAGTTTTCGTGGCCTTTTCGATAGCCACGAACATTTGTTGCCCTAGACGCCTCCACTCGGCATCGCCTGTCATGCGGTACAGCAGGAAGACACTCTCAATGGCCTCTGGTCGAAGAATATACCGCGGATCGCGGGCATGGGTGAAGCCTTTTGGCAAACCAGGCGCGGGCTGGTCGTCTCGGAGGTTGTCGCGCCACTTTGCTTCGTCCCATTGACATCCCTCAAGCGACTTACAGGGAACGACGCCGAAAATCTCGGGCATGATGCCTGTGGGGAACGCGGAATAGCCCCAAGCACAGCCCCTGGCGAGACGCTTGCCTATGGACACGTGCTCAGGGATGCCAAACAGCTTGCCACCGAGCGCAAACATGCCACCAACAAAGCACGTCAGGTGCTGCGTTTCGGGGTTGCGTCGCACCTTGCCAGGTTCGTCCACAAAGGCGGTGCCCACGAACAAAATATCAGCTCCATCTGGGACCATGGGCCTTATGAGAAGGTATGATTCGACAACGTCCATGGCGTCGCGGTACATCTTCTCGTAGGACGCGTCGAGACCCCCTAGCAGAGCATACATCTTGGGGAGGTACTCGTACAGAGAGTCGGCCAGAGCTCCCAGAGTAAATTCGTTGTAGACATCGACCGTTTCTTCGCGAAAGTTGATCAGCGCCGGCCACATGCCCGGCAGGCGGCTCGAATGCTGGGTGCGACCCAGGAAGAGCTTCACGCGCTCAATGGCATCAAAGTATTTTGTGTCGCCTGTAAGCTGAGAGAGGCGAGTGAATTCGAGGGACAGCGAGCAGGGCGAAGCTGAGGGGTCCGAAGTGCCGGCGATGAGACGGCCATGCTTGGCCAGTTCGAAATCGAGCCAAAAAGGCGGCAGGCGGTTTGGGGTATCAAAGGAGGCGTAGAGCATGTCACCAAGCTCGACAGCCTTGAAAAGGAGACGCGCGTCGTTGGACAGGTCGTAGGCGCTCAGTATGCCGCCAAGGTGTCTGATGGTCGTCTCAAAGACGTTGGCAGCGGTTTCGGTCGTGTTGGCCCAGTCCAGGCGGGCAACGACGGCAACGGCCTGGTCAAACTCAGTCTCGAGGCCCATGATCCAGAGAGTGTCTAGAGAGTCGACGAGTGTAGCAGCCCATCCGCCAAAGGTGTTTCGCCCGGCAGCCGAGACGGGAACCAGCTCGTCAAACTGCCAGGCGTATTTCTTATAGCTCGCCCAGCATTTCTGAAAGGCCTTCCTCACTTGTTCGGCTAGGGCATCGGCGGCAAGGTGGGCTTCATCGGCAATATCGGAGGTTCGTGCAAAGTCGTGCTGCACGCGAGGCAGGTTCTTCGGTTGGCCAACCGGCAGAGGGTGCATGGAAGAGGGTGCCACGGCGTGGGTGTGGACGTGCTGGCTCCAGTCGAAGCTACTCCTGACGACATAGGAGCCAGAGCGCAGGATGAAGAAGATGGTCAGGGCGAGGAGGAGAAAGGCGGCGATGGCCATAAGGCGCCTCGACCGGCGACGGGACCTGTAGGAAACCGCCATGAGGAGGGAGGTGGTCGGACGGATGGCATTCTGGGGGACATGGAAATTGGGAGGACGGGGCTTTCCTCGATCAACAGGACCCGACCGACGCGTGGAGGTTTGCATGGGCAGTGGCAGGTGCAGGCGCTGGCACTGGCACACGCGCTCGAAGCTCAGCCTGCCTGTCTCGGTTGGCAGTGATTAGGGGGTGCTCGGTTATTAGTGAGCTCTCCCAGTCCACAGTGGCACGTGGGGGCTTCCTTGACGCCCAAGCGCCACGCAGCCTTGGACAGCCACACGCACAGCAAATATCGGGGGGAAGTCGGTGGAGAGATGGGAGGGCAGACAATGGACCATAACTTCAGATCACTAAAAGATCATTTCGAGAAGCCGTTCTGAATCAACACCGCCCGCCCGCCCACATCGGCAAGCCAGCGCCGAACTGAGTCGCATAGATGCGATACCGGCCTTTTCACTGCGTCAACTGCCCACTGGGAGTCTAGCTCGAGGCCACAATAACTACGGGGGAACATGTGAAGCCTCCCCGGCCCGTTGCTAAACCTTTGACCGGCATCTCCTCCAACAAATCACCCGCAGACTTTTTTCAGCGGGGTGTTCACCAATCGCCGACCGACCACCCCAAGGACACCACCGCCCGCCACTGAGTCTGGAAGTCCCAGCCAATAGTGCACTGGTGATGACCCGGCGCCCCTCCGGATCGCCTTAGCGTCGCCAGGGTCAGACCCGCCGGATCGTCCCGGTGGTCAGGGTGACTCGAACTCGCGATGAGTCTTTGCGATAAGAAATCTTCATCGCCGCCCGCTTACTGACGGGGTACTTTTACTCCGCATGTAGCTGCGAGTCGCGAGCTTCTTGAGGCGTCCCAAGTGTATCTTGTTCTTTGAACTCTACGCTTTATGATTACAGCCATGGACGTCGAGACAGCAAAGCAGCAGGCGCCCGCCGTCGCCTCGCCACTCGAGGATAAGCCGACTCACGATGCGCCGGAAGCCGGCCGTAGTACCCTCAAGATGTTGTTCCGCAAGGCTCTTGTCTCCGGTCGTGTAGAGGAGCGTGGTGTCGAGCCCATCGCCCTTGAGGAGCGCAACTCGACGCGCTACTTCAACTGCTTCACCATCTGGTTTTCCATCAACTTCAACATCCTGCCGTACGCCCCTTCCCAACCTCACCTTCCACTCCTCATGCCCCGAAATGACGCTGAGTAGCTGACACCCTACAAGGATCACTTTCGGTCTCATTGGCCCCAAGTACAATGGTCTCAGCTTTCGTGACTCTGTCCTCATCATTGTCTTCGTTATCCTCTTTGTCACTTTGGCCCCCGCCTACATGGCAACTCTGGGTCCCAAAACTGGCATGCGACAGATGATCCAAGCTCGATTCAGCTTCGGCCCTTACCTTGTCGCCATCCCCGTCCTCCTGAACCTGGCCACGCTCACCGGCTTCTGCATCATCATGTTTGTCGTGGGCGGCCAGTGCATCTCGGCCGTCACTGACGGCGCGCTAACACCGACCCTCGGCATCGTGCTGATATCCCTTCTCGCTCTGACCATCTCCTTCTGCGGCTACAAAATCCTGCACTTTTATGAGACCTACGCCTTCATCCCGGCACTGGTCGCCATTGTCATCGCCACTGGTACCGGCGGCTCTAAGCTGCATGAGCGTGTCGAGGTCCCGACGGCCACGGCCCCACAGGTCCTAAACTATTGCATGATCATCGCTTCATACATGATCCCCTGGGCCTGCATCGCCTCGGATCTGACGACCTACTTCAGCCCCTCAGCGCGTGGAGCGTCTTTCCGCGTCTTCGCATACAGTTACCTCGGTCTCATTCTACCGGCCATCCTCCTCATGACCCTCGGTGCCGCTATTGGGAGTGCCATTCCCAATGTGCGGGGCGTGGAGCGCCGCCTATGACGAGACTCTTGTCGGCGGTGTCTTGGCCGCCATGCTTGAGCCCGCTGGCGGTTTTGGCAAGTTCGTCGTCGTCATCCTAGCCTTCACTTTGCTCGGCAACGTTGCTGGCACAATGTACGCCGTCACCCTGAACTTCCAGACAGTCGCACCAGTTTTCTCGCGTGTTCCGCGATACATCTACGCCATTGTTGTTACGGCCATCATGATCCCCGTCGCCATCAAGGCCGCTGACGACTTCTTCCTGAGCCTCGAAAACTTTGTGGCTGTTATCGCCTACTGGTCTGCCGCCTTCATCGGCATCGTCTTGGTCGAACACTTTGTCTTCCGCAAGGCCAATCACAAGGCATACAACCACGACGAGTGGAACGATGCATCGAGGCTGCCGAGCGGACTCGCTGCCATTGGCGCAGGGCTTCTGAGCTTTGGCCTCATCATCCCCTGCATGGACCAGGCATGGTACACTGGGCCGATTGCAAAGACGACGGGCGACTTGGGCTTCGAGGTGGCCTTTGTGCTAAGCTCCTTGCTTTATCTACCGCTGCGATATGCTGAGAAGCGTGTGCTGCAGAGGTAGGGGCAGTAACTTGGGGCAGCCGAGCATCAACTGCTCACTAGGTGGCAAAAATTAATATTCATAGACAAAGCTTAATACATCACCATCGACACGCTTCGTGGAATCGTGGGAAAAGCCCAGAATAGCGTGGGGAGAAGCTGCCGCAATCCCTACGGAAAGCCGCCGAACTGGGTTTCACCTCCAATCCAATAAGAATTTGTCCCATTGCTTCACATCCTTAACAAACACACCCTCTCACCTACACAACTATCCGCGTCAGCTTCAACCTGAAGCAGCCCATCCCAGGCCGACTAGGACTTATCTGTAAGCTCTAAGACCAACTAGTCACCCTCACAGCCGAGAATGGTCGGGCCAGCGCTGGCCAAGTACTAGCTTTCGCGAGAATCATCAATCTCTTACGGTAGCTACAATGATGAACATCAGACGTCGTTTCAGAGAGAAAGCTAAACGAACTCATGCACACCAGTGGGGCTCCACCCAACGTGTGCGATGGGCCCCCATTCGCGAAGGGAGTCGTTTGAACCTGCTGAGTTTGTTTCGTCTCATCTACATCCTCAGCATTTTGCTCGCGATCCATCACGGAAGGGGAACCTTGTGTTGATCCTGGCTCGAGCTGATCTCCAGCATGGATTCTGTCCCGCCTGGATCATATAGGTTCTCCTAAGCTCCCAGGATGCTGGCTGGCCTCGTCTGAAGAAGCGGGCATTGTTCTGCCAATCTCTCTCCTCGTCCACCCTCTTCGCCGAGTATTGCTTTGAACAAAACTACACATCATGATCGTTGGCCAGTCTCATTTCAAGAGCCTGGCTTTCCGGGTGACAGTCACACTGGTCAACTACATCGGGCTTGTGACTGCCAACTTCATTTCCGTTATTGTCTTCGTCAGCGGCCTGCACGGTCTGTCTAGCCCACTCGCCATTATTCTTCTGTTCATAGCCATTCCGGAGGTCATCTTTTACCTTGCTTGGTTCCTCCCGTACCGCTTCCGCCTGCAAGGCCACGGTCCAAAGCCGGTGCCCCTCTCAAGAAGCCTCCGCAAGTCCATTTTCAAGCGTGGTCTGGACCACGTTCCAGATGTTGAGCAATACATCCGCAAGTGGCATTCGAATGCTCATTACGACGACATTCGCCAGGACAATTACAAGGAATGGCTACTCTGGGCACTTTTTGACCGCGACGGGGATCTAGGTGACGATAGCGCGGAACTCGATGACTACATTCAGTACACGGAGGAGAAGGGCGAGCTCAAAATAAAAAAGGGCCAGGGAGATGCGGTTCCAATACGCCTAACGTATGATCCCGTCGAGATGACACACCGCAGTCTGACGTTTTACACAGTAAGTTCTCTGCATTTGTGCTTGCATTCTGGGAAGTATGGACTGACCAGCCAGCTTGTTGGGCTTGCCGATGCCATTACGACTGTCATATTTCTCGCCAAAGGCTTCAAATTCTATCGCCAGCCGCGGTCGACCTTTTTCACGACGTTTCCCTTTCGATTCAAGACACTTCTGTCTCCTAACGCCTCGCCATGCGCTCAACTCTCGTATTTTCACCGCCCACATACCTCATCGACGCATCGTCCTCTCATCTTCCTACACGGTGGTGGTATCGGCCTAGCTGCCTACCGCCAGTGGCTTACCTCCCTACCACGGGACGTCGGCGTCCTGGCCCTCGAGATCTTGCCCATCTCGAGCCACATCAGTGGCCCCTTGCCAACAACGCATGAGCTCCTCTCCGCTCTGGCAGCCATTCTCTACAAGCACGACGTGAAGGACGCCATACTCATAGGGCACTCTTTCGGCACGCTCCTGACGTCACCGATGCTCCAGAGGCCCGACATTGCAGGACGCATCGCCTCCATCATCCTCGCCGACCCCGTCTCGCTGCTCCTGCACCTACCCGACGTGTCCTACAACCTCACGCGCCGCGCACCACGACGGGGTCGACCGAACGATTGGCAGACCCGTTTCTGGGCGAGCGATCCCGGCATGGCACACACGCTGGCGCGACGGCTATGCTGGCATGACTTTGTGCTGTGGACAGAGCAGCTCCAGGGGCGACGGACGACGGTCGTTCTCGGGGGCGACGATAGCGTCGTGAATGCGGACGCTGTGGCTAGTTATATATACTATGGCGATGTCAAGTATTCGCGCCAGGACAGGCGGGAATGGAGGACGACGCCGGAGCGGTGGACGGGCCAGGAGGAGTTGGCGCTGCTGTATCTCGAGGGGAAGGATCATGGACATGCATTCCTCAGCGCGGAGGGCATCAAGAGCATGACACGCGTTGTCGAGGCTTACGGGGCCCTCAACCAGACATGGGGGACGCGAGCGGTGGACTTGGCCAAGTTAGAAAAGGTGTTGGAGAGTCCACCGATGGTACCGTCCAAGAGCAAACCCATAGACTCCATACGGGAGATGAGGATCTTAGAGGCTTCGGCCAAGACGGAACCGCTGTCGGGCAGGAAACGATGGCTCTAAGTGCATGGAAACCGATGACTTGATGATAAAGTATTTTCATTATTACACCAGAGTCACGGAGGATGTGAGGCGGCGTGTGCGTTTCTGAAAAGAAGGTCTTGAGCTGACCGTCGTAGCTTCGACAGACTACAGACGGGGCGCCAACGAAGCTTGCTCTGAGCTCGACACACTGCATGCATGCTGGCAGCCAAGCGCAGAACAGAGTATTCTCAGCGGCCAGGGGCATCCGTCAGGGGTACATACCTTACGCCGAACTTCTTCTCCTTGACCACCGTACCGTCCTCCTTCTTATCAACCGTCCAAATGTACTGGTTCCCACTACCATCCTCGTCCGCAACGGGAATGAACAGCCTGGGATAGAACATTAGCACATTCTCCGTTGTCACTTCTAAGAAGAGGGCACATGCCGTCCCGGAGACCGCAACTGGTCGACAAGCGTCTGATGCAACTCGACAGCCGCCGCACCCACATGAATAGCATCCCACCCCTCATTCCCATCCGCCGTCCACCCAGCTCTTCCATCTCCCGTGCGGAACTTGACCCTGCCGCTTCCGAGAAGCCCTCTGCCCTCCTCGCTCTTGGCCATGTTGCCCTCGCCCAGCTGCCGCAGCTCGTCGATATGCTCAACGCCCACGACCGTGCCGCTCTCGCCTACGAGCTCCGCGAGCAGATGCGTCAGGTAGCCCGAGCCGGAGCCAATGTCCAGGACCCGCGGCGCCAGCGTTCGCTGCGAGGGCGCGACAAAGGGTAGCAATGACTCGGCGGCCATGGCATGCATGTGCGGGGCGGAAATGGTGGCGCCGTGGCCGATGGACTGCGGATGGTCCGCGTAGGGCGACTTGGGAGCGTAATGCGCGCGATCGACCTGAGGAAAGCGTCAGCAAGGGACGAGGAATGTGAGTGGAGGAGGAGGAGAGAGGCTCGCACCTTGAGAAAGGCATCTTTGACGCGCTCGTCTTTGATGAGGCTGTTGCGCCAGAGGTTCTCGGCCAGGGCCTGGTTTGTGTCGCCCGAGCTGCGCCAGGCCATGGCGAGTGAGCGAGCTAAGGATCGCTGGAGGGGAATTGTGCTTGATCAAGCCTCTGATTAGGTTCGATTCGAGTGAGGATGCAGGCGACTGCACTGTAATGGCTGTGTTGCAGGCGGGATGAGTCTGCCCCGCAGTGTTGATGGTGAATGGAGGTTCAGCGTTTGACCGTCAGTCATGTGCTCTGACGGCTGATGATGCAACTCAGCCACCTGGTTGAGGGGCAAGTCACGAAAGCTAAAAGTCCTTTTCTGCTCTGCCATACACATCACCTTTACAACCGGGAATTAAGATGGACAGAACATGAAACAATATCGTCGAGTCGGTCTCCGGCCAACATGTGCAGTGTGCCATTCATGTGATTGCGAATTATCTTGTAATGCCATGTACAATAACCATACCCAGAAACGCCCTGTACCCCTCCCTCATACAACCCGCTCCGTGGACTCGCCAGTCGCAATAATCGGCACAGGCAGGCCTCTGTCCGGGCTCTGCATCACCAGCTGCTCGTGTCGCCGCGCGCGCAGGAACTCGGAGATGGAGCGGATCAGGATGAACCACCCAACAATCATCAAGATGTACGAAATCCAGTCCGATCCGCTCATGTCGCCGATGCCGCCTGCCTCGCCTGCCACGGCATCTGGGTTGAAGTTGTGCGAGTTGGGGTCAGGCGGACTGGCGTATCCGTCTTCTCCATTCATCGGTGGCGCATTGTCGCCCTCGGTTGGGCCGCCGCGGAGGTAGAAGCCATACTGGATCATCTGGATGCCGAGGCCGGCAAGAGATCCGTTTTTCGAAGCGTGTGACGAGTGAAGGAGATATGTGAGGAGGAAGCCAACCAGCTGGAAGAACATGGAGATCATGGCGTTCCACAGGAAGCTGAAGAGGGAGCCGACCGGCATACCGTCAATGTAGACTTCGTCGGCGCCGCCAAGACCGGGCGCGAGAATCGTCGTCTCCCAGTAGGGTGGTGCTGCGTCGAGTGCGGCTTGTTCATAGGTCTGTCATGTGTTAGCACAAAACGGTCGTGTGATTGCACGGCGTTCCGACGTACCGGTGGCATTTCCTCCTTTTCCTCTGTCGCTCGCTCCGGCTTCGCCATGAGGTTGGAGAAGACACCGCCATTGTCGGTGCCGGCACCGTACACACGGTAAGGTGTAGTCGAGGCACCTGAGGGCTGGTGTGGAGGGAACTGGGGTATCGATTGATCTGTAGGGCTCTCGGTCGGGGTATCGGGACGGGAGACACCGCGCGAGTTGCCGCCGCGTACTAGGCGTTGTCTGTCGTCGCCTTCGTCATCGCTGTCGTCGCCGTCGGTGTCAAAGGCATCGGCAAGGGTCGGGTCGACACGGGACCGTTCTCGTGAGGATTGGCGTGAGTGGAAAGATGGTGGTGGTGAGTTGGGAGTAATGTTGGATCGTGTGCGGGAATCGTCCTCGTCTTGGGCATGAACCTGTACGGTGTCAGAGGGCGAACACAAATCACATTCAAAGGCAGCAACATACCCGCTCGTATCGGCCGGTCATGGTGTTGACGGTATGGGATTGTGGTTTTGGGTCAAGAGCAGGCTCCCTATCCCCTTGTTCTCCACAGCCTACTCAAGGCAGAAGTGTCGATCGAATGACGAAGTCGTCGAGTCGGTAGAATGGAACGCTGGCTGAAAGAAAGGAACGGTCGCAGGAATGCAGTATCGAAAGGCGCAAAGGAAATGGAAGTATCGTCGAGAGAATGATGAAGGAAGGGAAATGGTCAAAGGGGCGACTGTGTATCTTGGGGTTCTAGGACGAAACGGTTGGCGTGGACAGCCCGGAACTGCGGTCGGGGAGTTCGATTGAGGAAGGGGGGCGGTAGGTGGCAGGCGGTAGCGGCAAGGCGGCGGCGACACGACAGGCGGCCATGCGTGATCATCAGACAGAGAGGCCTCTCCCGCCAAGTCCATGGGGCCCAGCCAGAATGGGGCCCGCTTAGTCAATGCCAAGCCCCGAATCCGAGCGGATCGAGAACGAGCCTCGCCACGACTGGATGCATCCTAGAGCTTTGCTGCTTTAACCGCGTGTCGGCCTCGAAGAGTACAGCGGAGCCTACCTGGTGTGAGCCTGATCCAAGGGCGGCGAGGACACTAACTGCATTGACTTGTTGTCTTCGTTGTCTTGGTCCGAAAGTGCTGGAATGCCCCGCCATGAACCAACTGGTGGCACATTCATGCGCAACAAAGGGTGACGAATCAGGGGCTACCACTTGCACTAAGCACGAGGAGCCAATCAGAGGCCTCTGTACAGGTACTCGTCAAGACCCTGTCAGACAGCGCGCGCCGTGCTGGAAAAAAGTCCTGACGTCTGCGATTGCGATAGTGAGCTTCCGTGCCTCCGACTCCAGTGTCACCTTCTCGGGATACTCCCTTCCCCGCCCATCCCAGCCCGCCAAACGATGCCGTGAGGGTCCATCTTGCACATCAATCTCGACACAATGGCACGCCCCGCAAGCGTATGTTCACCGTCCCTGCACCGACCCTGCTAAGATCGCGACATCTGCTGACGATCCCCCAGCAAGCCCTCAAGCACTACCAGCGCGCCCTGGCCACATGGCCCAAGGACGAGCTGCGGCCCCAGGTCCAATTCGCCGAGTTCCTCAAGCGCGGCGTCGAGAAACGTCTTGCTGCTGGTGCCGCGACACCCGCTGCTGAGCAAAAGGAGCTCGCACAGGTCAATGCCCTCTACAGCCTGGCGGAGGACCGCTACGCGAAAAGGGTATGTTTCCCTGCTTCACGTCTGGTGTCTGCCCAATGATGACTGACGATTCACAGTTTCCCCTCGGACCGAAGATTTCCAAGCCCCAGAGTCAGCCGACATACTTCAAAGACCTGCTGCGTGAGCTCGAGGAGGCACCGAGCAGGACGTGGCTGCAGAGCATGTCCAAGAGGTTATCGGGCATCTTCCGATGGGAATAGAGATATTGTGATACCACGAAGAGGTCTGTCATGGAAACGGGCAAGCGGCACGAAGTAAATATGGACCGACAGGTCACCACAACAAGCGGCATGTACAACAGAAATGTACAACACGTGTATGATCATATATAAATTCTATATCCCACAAAGACGCCATTTTTCTCTCTGTTTCCTAAAATCCCACTATGAATTCCGATGTCGCTACAGGTATCGCCCGTTGGGGTCCAGCTTGTCCATGAAGTCGATACTCTTCTCATACATGGTGAAGACGAGTCCGCCACTGACCACCAGTCGAGCGAGACGGGGCAGCGCGCCGCTCCAGAAGGTCAGGATACCCTCGTGCTTAAAGATGAGTGCCGCGCACCGGAAGCTGTTTCCGTACTGTGACCTCGCTTCAATGCTCTGCATGCGCGTCTTGATGGTATCGAGCGGCTGTGTCACGTAGACTGTGATCAAACCCGCCAGGCCGCCCATGGCAAACGTGCCCGCCGCACCGAGCTTCTCGCCGGGTGCCGTGTAGCCCTCGGCCATTTGCTTCAGCATGTTGTAGGCGCCAAATCGAGTCGCGCTGTTGGCCGCCTGCCGAGCTGTCGTCGGCACGAAGCCCTGGAAGAAGCCGCGGATGCCACGCTCGCGTGCGATGATGGGTACCGCGTGGAGGAAGCCACGCATGCGAGGCTTGGGTGACTTGCGGTCGTCGATCCTGAAAGGTCAGCCGACGGGTTCTGCACGAATAGTGACCAGAGCGACATACAGTGTCGTTTTGATGCTCTCAAAGGGCGTCACAGCCAGCGCCGACTCGGTAACACCTGCGCCAAACCCCGCAATCACCGTCTTAGGCCCCGAGATGTTGCCGTCAGCGTCTGCCAAGAGCGTCTTGTACTGGTCGAAAGCGACGAATCCTGGATGGTTGTTTTTAGCCATGTGCTTCGCCTTCCTGGATCCATAGCCACCCACGAATGCCCGCCTTGAGCGAGTTGCCTATGATGAGCGTTGTGCATCCGGCGTACCACTGTGCGCCGAAGGGGGGCCACGGTAGCTTCTTTCCGTCTGTCAGCTGTCGGTTGAGCTGCGAGCGCGTCTTCGCGACTGTAAATTGTCAGGTTCATAGTCAACACGACGTCAATCAGAGACTATACATTCGGCCGGGTAGGTTATGGCTGGGCGGGTTAGCTTAGTGTTTCCTTTAAACGTGCACAATGCGTCATACCAATCTCGAGGGCGCCCGCCGTCGAACCAGCGATGATGGAGCGCAGGACGCTGGGCCGCTTCTTCGCGGGCTGCTGCGACTCGGTGGTGGGCGTCGCGGTGGCCATGGCGAGGATTGGCTGTCGTCGCGCGTGGGCTGGCGTTTGGTGTGGTGTTTGTCGTGGGATTGAAGCACCACAAAATCGACGTCACGTCAGTGTCCATCATTTGCATGCGCTAGCAGGTGCCATTTCGGTGCCGGCCTTCGGAGCAGGCATTGGTGGGGCCGAGCACGGCACCAAACAATCATGCCGAGGTACGTACCGCCAGTGCTGACCCTCAATGCTAGCAACGTCCGGCTTGTGTCTTTCGTGGCATCCGATCATGTGCAGATGTTTGAACAGACAGCAAAATAATGCAAGTAATTTTCCATTCATCGAAAGTCCGGACCTAGTAGGTAACTTGAGAAAAGCGAACCCGCGTGCGTCGACACATGGTCCGAAATCGGGCTTTCGAGGCTCATCCCTCAAATTGCCGTTTGCGAGCCGAAAGTTGTCGTGCGACGTTGTCCTACGGCTCTAGGGCCTACATGGTCTTGAAGGACTGTTTCTATTGAGCACTCGTCGGCTCTGGGCCGTGGCCATGGGGCCAAACACCCGCATCGTGAAACGCGGGGCACCAATGGCGTCCCGTCATCCAGAGAGGCATTCTATCCCCGGTCATTTATTCCCAGTCTTGCCGGACTCTGAGGCTTCTCATTTCGTCGTTGTATCTCATCCGGTTTTATTTTTCAACGATTACTTTGATGCGATGACTTTCCGCCTCTCCGTTCACATGACCAGGCCTTGCGGTTCACGACTGCTGCTTGACAGGCTATCGAACAATATCTCTCAATGATATCTCGACTATGACGCATTCTCAAAACCTGGCTGTAGGGAGTGAGTGTGACCCGTTGTCCATCTGCATTAGAACGCTTGTTGGCCGCTGTCTAACGCACCTTCTTGGGGGGCCAGTAGAATACAGGAGCTCGCTGGTGAAGGCACGATGATTGATGAGTGCCGTCAACATCAAGTCGGGAAGATGGCTCTCATTCAACAGGAATTGCGATCTGTATCAGATGTCTGCCAAAGAATGACGCACTCGGCCGATTATGAAGAAAGCATGACGACCAAAAAAAAAGATGCCTTACCTTATTTGTCTGCTCGTCACCTCTGCCTCGGCCCAGGAAGCATCGGTTTCCCAACTCAATGCCCATGCAGTCGTTTTTCCCAACAGAATTACTTTTTTGGACCCAGAAAACATGAACACCTTGCCCAGCGCAAGCAGGACTGTGGCCCAATGGCCCTGGGACATCATCCCACAAGCATGTCATTCCGTCGCCTCAAATAGCTCCGTCACAGACAGCACACCCGAAGACTTGGATGTCTCCTCAATGCCGTACTCAGGCTGTGCAATCCCTAGACCGTTTGTCCAAGTGCCGCTACAGACGCAACTCTCGAGACTGTAGTCGATCGGCTCGGTCGCATTCGCGTCCTCGCGTGAAAAACGTTTCGATACGTCAACGTACGCAAGAGGATCAGCGGCACTTCAGGACTCTGCTTCTACTAGGACGGTGATATTCTACTGTACAGGGAAGGCTACAAGTATGGGCTTATAACTACGTGATACGGCGCCAACATGCCTTTTGGATCGCAGGCAGAGGACAGTTCATGCTGAAGACGATGTGCCGGTTGTATGTCTCAGCTCGGAGATCCCTTACCCCGAAGCCCATCGTCTAGGCAGCGGTTATTGACCGTAAATCATGTAAAGCATAAAGATGTCTGGATTTCGCTGCGGTTCAATGAGATTCATAGCTCTAGAAAAGTTTCTATGTGCTTTCAGTAGCTCTTGATGTTCTATCCTATCTCCCAGTCGTTCCTCTATGCTCATATTGACCATGGCACCTCTAACGCTACGGGGCAAGATATCAGATCTCCACACCCAGCGCCGTACTCAAGAATCGCAAACACGCCTTCAGGAAATTCTGTGCCGCCTCCTCAGTTTGCCAAGCGTCGTTGTACGCCGCCGCAAGATTCAACTGCCCTTGGTGCGATGTAAGGAAGAGTCCAAATCCGTTGCGCATCTCCTCTCCGGTGATCCACGGCCTGCTCACGCTAAACGCACCGAATTTGGACGGCAGCATACCGTCTACACGGCCTAGACTCGACAGAGTCAAGCCTAGCGTTGGAGACGGCGGTGGTCCAAGTCCAGGGCTCTTCTCAACCTTTGGGAGAGTCTGCAGCCAGGCGGTCCAGACAGCGGGGGCAAGTAGTCCATGTTCAGTGTCGTCGGCTACGCGACGATACAAGGCGCGGATCTCCTGCAGAACGTGTTTGAAATCCTCTTTGGAGGACTTCCCGTCTGTCTTCGGGGGGATCACTAGGTCGCAGGCGAAACACGAGCCCGAATGGTAGGCCGTGACGGGATGCTTGCTCGAGTTGTAGGGCGCCGCGCAGAATGGCCTCAGATTGCGCAACAGGTCCCAGCGAAAGTAAAATGTCTCCTTCTTTGCGTCTTCAGGGACAAGATCCCGCAGAACGATAGGAATCACGGCGTTCACGGCGTGAGTGACGGTTGCACCAAGTGTTTTGCAGGCCGCGAGGATGTTTGCCGACGTTTGAGAATCCAAGGTGATGTCAGTTCGCTGATGCCGGCCAGGTGACTGAGCGCCATGTACAAAGGGCGGCGAAAGGTAATGCTTCGGTTCGGGCGCACGCGTCTTGGAGAAGGCGGTATGTTCTGCGGTCATCTGGGCGACTCTTTTCTGTAGAGCTGGTGTGAATTGTTGGGGAACTCCAGCCGCCGCGCGATAAGAAGGACTCAAGTTCTGGGTTTCAGTACGTTGAACTCGGGGGTTACATCTTTGACATCCTGCTCGAAGATGCGAGACGCATGTTCCAACAAATTGTTCAGTAGCAATAGCGTCCCGACGCCATCGACAGTGTCGTGAGGAGCACGAAAGACGAGATCGGGATAGATCGATGCATCGCAACGCGAAGGCGGGTTGATGACGAAAAGCGTCGGCAGGCTGGGCGCTGGCGGATCAGAGTTGGCAAATTCAACACCAGTTTGGCCGTTTGAGATTTCGATAAAAGTTGATGATAGCCACGCCTCCCTTTCAGCATCAATCTGAAGACTGTGGTAGCTCCGCGTGAACCGCTCGGTAGCAAAATCATAATTTACTTCGGAAGCGACCGATGGATGGTCATGGCGGATACGGCACCAGGCCTCTCTCAAAGAGCTGCTGAGATCCTTGTGTGAGCTTGAGGGCACCTGGTTGATCTGCAGCGAGGCGTGTCCAGTTATGGCAAAAGGTCTCCTCCCCTGCGTGTCGTGAGCTCTGGCCGCCTGGGCCCAAAATGTTTCGACCTCATCGATATCTCGGTGCCAGATTCAAGGCGCAACTTCGGCCCAGGCCAGCGATCTCTGAGTAGTGGACATAGTCTGAAAGATCAACGGCAAATTTCGGCGTAAGAGGAATTCTATGATCTCTTTCGAGATTTCCGAGGTTGCAGACACGGTCGTCCTCTTTAAATCAGCCGGCCATCCTAGATCACTTAGCCCGTTGGGTTGCGGAATATCTCAACTTGCTGACGCCCTGACTCTTAAGTCCGGATAAGTCGTGAACTTTCTTGCTCGATCTGCATTCAAGCATGTCCGTCCGGGGTTTGGTAGATCTGGATGTGGAAAAGTAATTGCATTAGCGTTATTTCAATCCCGCTGCTTTGCCAGATGGGGATGGTCAGAGCCAATGGCAGGTAGTGCTGTTGGTGCAGGGAAACATGGCCCGCGTTCCGACCAGGAGGACACCGGAGTTAACGATTCTCGACATGCTGGCAGCTGTGGTACTGTGTTTCTGGCATCTCTTCTGCATGTCATGACCAACTTGAAAAGAAAAGAACGGAGCCAACGACATACCCAAGCGAGCACAGGACTCTAGGTTTGGAGTTCGAATCATAAGTGGACAGCGGACAAGGCATAATCCGGGCAGTGCAGGTCACGAAATGTAACCCGAATACGCGGCCGTTGTAACTTCGATTGTTTTCTGGTCGGAGGCAAAGGCCGGGTCGGCCTTCGACCTAATGGTCCTCAACCGCTCCCCCTTACGGTCATCGAGAGCCGGCCGGAATGATGGGGCTCCACCTACCTCATGGCCAGCCGGCGAAGCAGCCGTAGCGAGGGAACACTCTTCGGCTCAATTTTTCGTCACGAGGCAGGTTGTTCCAGGTAGGCGAAAGCGCGCCAATTCGCGGGGCTGTAGACGACTGCGCTTGCGTCACGTTCAAGCCGGCAGATAGATGAAACGGCATCAGGCAGCCAAAGCAACTCTGCGTGCTGAAAGTCTACTATGTAGCTGTAAGTGCCGAAAGCTTTCTTCGAGTCACAGTCCACTGGCAGGCTGCCCAGCCCAACCCACATCCCCGAGACTGGCGAGATTGGGTTTCTCGCAAGTGAAAAATTGCTGTTCTGTGCGGCGGCTGACGACTCAGGCACTCTGGCTCGGGGCCGGGGTCGATCCTCGGCATGACCGCGCCGCATGGCATGTATAACCAGACGGGAGGTCGGACTCAGGTCGGCAAGCCCGGAGGTCCGTTCGTTCCTGTTGGTCGTGTTCGAAGTAGTTTGTGACGCGTGGCATCCGGGAATCGCGGACGGTTTTCAAGGCCTTCCTTCCACTGCTGTGCCGGCAACGTGACGGATCCCGTATTGCGCTCCGTCACGTGGATGGTGAAGGATGAAAGGAGAGTCACACAGGGGCTGTGTCTGAACTAGGCCTGCGTTGGGTGAGGTCATAAGTCTTACATTGCGAGCCCACGAGCCACGTCGGACAAAGTTGATGGTTCGTCGGCCTGGCGTACGGTAGCTGGAAATAGAACCAGCTACGCATTGGGGGATGGGATGAGTGGGTACATTACGGCTGAGATGATATACCAAAGATTGACGATGGACCCTTTCGAGTGAGGCAATGAAGAAGCGACGAACCCACGACGATGAATGGCAAGGCGGAGAGGACAGGATCACTAAGCTGCCGTTCTAGGGCTGAGACTGCTAGGCACCGGCCAGAAACATCAAAATGGCACTGTAGCACTGCACTATTGTGGTGTGGCTTGAGGGCGTCACCCGCGGCGAGTGCGATGACGTGGCACAGTGCAGTGCAGGCGAATGCGCACAGGACACCCGCTGGCTCGGCAAAGACAACCTAATTTCAGGGCCTTCAGCGCGCCAAGTCATGTCCTTCAGGGGCCGAAGGGTTGGTTCTTCAGGGGCTGCTCAGACCCCGAAATATCCTACCCCCCAAAGCCCTGGGAACCCTGGCCTGGTTAGGGGCGAGGCGGGACACCGCATCAAAGACAACTCACGAATGGATCGCCCATCCCAGGACCTACCTTGTCTGATTTTTGGCCCAATACATCAGCATCACTGGGGTTGATCGACACGGTTATGTTTGTTTTCTCGGGAGGCGGCTTCAGGCCATGGGACGTTGATCAAATGGCCGCCTATCAAGCGAGGAGCCAGAGGAGGAGTCAGAAGGGGGGGCCGTGATGAGCACAGCCACACTTTCCACGTCGCCCCTTCTCAGATGCCCTGGAGACCTGACCGCCAGATTAGGGAAAGGGGTCGGGTAGGTAGCATCTGTTGCGCCTGCCCACTCTATAAGGCGCGCTAGGTAACGAACAACAGCTGAGCTGACGACGTCTTCGCCATCGGCCCAACCACCACGACCCATCATGACGGCCGTCAACGAACAGCAGACCAAGAGACCACTTGACGAGAGATTGGAATCCAGACGACACTCCAGACGACGTACACCACCATACGCCATACACATGAACCTGACACTCGAATCTTTACAATCCCCTCTTTGACACGTCTTGACTCGCCAGGGCGCCCGCACCCCTCCTCCAACCCCTCCCCCCCAAGCGACACCAAGACTTTATTGCCCATCATCTATTGCTTTACTGCCCCGCCCTGACATTGTTGTTTCGTCTTCCCCGAAATAACGGCCGCGACACACCCAACGAACCTTAATGCAAGGCTGGCGTCTCCGATCGGCAGTGCTTCTTCACTTCTCTGACCTCACTGTTGTATCCCTTCGTTCTTCATATCGTCCCTGTTCGTGCCCTAGTCCCCTCGTTCATAAGTTACGACTGCCCGCCGCTCAGTCACCCTTGCGCTCGTGGCCTTACGACCTTTGACCGGTGCATCTCCAATTCAACCTCTCTCTCTCTCTCTTACACACACACCTCATTTCACGCTTTGGCCTCTCCGATCTGATCCTGCCGAAAGACCCCCACGAGCCGCCTCTTTCACACTCACGCACTGCCAAGTCCGATCTACACGGCAGTCGCCATCGCCTGGGTCCGCAGTCTTCGTAGTTGCCTGCGCAACCTCCCAAGGCTCAACACCGACGGAAGCTAAAGCCTCAGGGTCCTTTCCCTGCATCTCACCTCAACACACCAACGGAACACCGACAGCAATCTTTCTCTCTGGCCGCCACACGACAAACCATGGCCGTCGAGGCTCGCTCCCTCGCCTCACTCAATTTCCTCGCCGCCAATCCTCCTCAGTATCCCGTCAACCCAACCGAGGAGAAACAGGACCCTCTCACCCTATACATCTCCCGTGTGCCGGGCACCCGAGGTGAGCCAGCGTCGTCAGCACGCCGCCACCAACCAGCCGTTCACGTCTCAGACTGATACTTTCTCTCAGACGTCATCCTCTCCACTTCAAAACCTCAAGTCAAGAATGTCACGTCGCATGATGTCGCCAATTCGCTCTACTACATTCACCTCGAGCTCCCTGGTGAAGCGCCGACGCGGAGCATCGACACCCCAAGGTCGAGCATTGAGAGTGGCCGCAGCGCCAATCAGATCAAGAGAAAGCCTCTCCCAGCCGGCGCTCAGATAGCCCCCGCCCGCGACCAGTCACCGGCCAACAGGTCGCCCGTCAGGGACAGCGGCGTAGCTGTCGCTGATTTCCAAGCCAAGCAGCAACGGGCGACAGATGAGATCGACACGCGCAGATGGACAGGCGATGGCAGGACATACTACAGCGTAGAGGATCCATCAGGTGCGCGAGACGACGTGCGAGAAGCTCCATCGCCAGTGGAAGGCCGTCATCCCCTCGACCGGAATTTACCACCTTTACCAGAACGCCCAGCACCTAGGCCGCGCGAGCGAACGCGCTCGCGGTCCCCTTCGCCTATCAAGTACCACAACACCACTGCTACCCCGTACACCCTCCATATCATCCGCCGCGATCCCAACACGGGCCACCAGTGGAACATCGGCCGCGTGTCCTCGTCTCAGCTCGAGACGTCCCTCGATGAGTCCTATTCTTACACCTCATACGACCCTGCCGGCTTGTCGACACAAGACCAACGACGCAAGGCCAATACCCCTCAGCCGGATATCAACATCACACTCGAGACTTCCGGCTACGCAAAGTTCCGCGGCATGCCAAGCCGTCAAAGCCCCGACGCCATCGGCCGCACCTCCGCCTCACCACCACGCGCTGATGACCGCGAACCAGGCTTCAAACGCCTCGTCTTTATGACCTACACCAAGTCGTGGACCGCCGGTATCCGTGAGAAATTGTCTGCCATGAACGACAAGGACGCCCAGCAGCAACAGCAGCCCCGCCACACGCGCACCAAGAGTACCGTCTCAGCAACCTCGGCCACCTCAACAAACTCGGTCGACTCAGACTCGGCCCCCATCACACGACCTGGATTGGGTCTCAGGCCGAAGGGCTACATGTTCGAATCGCCGTGGGGCGGCCTCTGTCAGTTCCGCACCGGTAACGGGGGACGCAGCGTCAAGCTGCGGCACGCCCTTTCCGGACGTTCGGGCGGCTACAACCCTCTTGTACCAGGGACAGCATCCGAGCAGATCGAGGCTGCCGCCGCGATGATCATGGGGGCTGCCGACGTGAGCGAGCTGCGGTTCAACCTGCCGGGCCGCGAGTTATTCCATCAGGGCAAGGAAGAAGCCATGGCACGGAAGCAGGAGATTGCCGGACATCTTGGCAGGCTCATGCGCGGAACCGGGGCTGATGGGGATACCGACGCGTTGGCATTGGGGCGGGAAAAGGCTGGCGGAGGCAACCGCGGGAAGCGAGCCAAGTTGGGCAAGCTGATCGTCAGCGGCGAAGGCATGAAGATGCTAGACCTTGTTGTGGCGGCCAACATTGGTGTCTGGTGGGGAGCCTGGGAAAAGACATTCTGATGATTTGGGCGACGACTTTGATGGATATGAGTGACAGCATGGTTGTTTTGTTTTGGCGCCAAATGAGCCAACGTAGAGGAGCACATGATGTTATAGCGGGCGTTGAACCACATGTTCGGTATTGCATGCCGAGCTAGATAGTAAAGCGTAATGAATGTTGTAACTTACGACCATCTTCATCTCACATGTAACATGGCGAAGCTGACGGCATTACTCATATAATAGCAAGATTTTAGATTACGAACCGCCCAACCTGCGCCAACGCCTCCTAAGACCCATCCATCTAGCATTGACATCATGCGATGCCCAATCACTTTTTTTTAGTAGAGACATACCTCCCACACCTAGCACAAAAAGAAGGTTCCCAGTCATACTTTGACCATTTTTGAGGCTCCGATCCCAACATATAAGGGCGCAACGCGTAGAACAAACCAAATAACAGGCCCCTTTCCTCTACAGCAGGAGCCCAGCGACCATCATCGACACTGTCATGACGCTGATGATATCCACTCGTTTAGCTCCAGCATCTGATGTGCTTGTCTGAATAGGCGGTGCGTTCTGTTTATCGACAGCAAGGTCGGAAATCACGGGCGTGATCGCAGGGGTCGCTTGGGCGGCCTCGCCCGCACCGAGAGCATCAGATGCACGGCTTGGGAGATGGAAGAAGATGCCGTTCTTGCCGGGACAGACGGCCGTGTACAGGGGCATTGTTTCTGCAAAGACTTGGGTTTCGCAGTGCTCGGGTCCGCAAGATGTCGTGGTGTGGGGGATCGTAGCGAACATGGTGCTAGTCACTAGCTCGACGGAACTACCAAGGAAAAGCGTTAGCAAAAAGTCCAGGGGTCAGAGAAGAGCAGGTAGCGTACGAGGTAACCGCTGCCGCGGATGTGAGGCGACTCGTGAAGGTTGGTGTTGGGGCGGCCACCGAGTCGCAGTCAAACTCTAACGCACGCGCCGCGTAGTCGTTGAAGTTGTTACCGTCGATATCACTGTTTGAACTGCCCCTGGTTGCGTCCCATACGGATAGACCTCCAAACCGACGCTTGTCTCTGAGCTGGCAGACCATGTATCTCAACGCAGCATAATCGACATAGCCGCTACCGCCTGCCAGGGGATCTGACAGTACGCCTACAAACAACTCGGCTTCGCCGTTGTACCTGGTCTCCGATAGAACGGTCGACCATGTTTCGTAGAGAGAAGTGATATTATCGGAGGCCTGGCAGCCGGGGTTATTGTAGAACTGAACGAAGAACGCGTCGAAGCGAGCGCCGTAAACGAGTTCTTTCAGCTGAAAGTATCCGTCACCGGTAGGACATTGGGGAGCCACGGATATGTAGTAGCTAGGATTGAGAGTCCGGAGAACATCCACCATCCTGATGTAGGGTGCTTGGTTGTCTGTTGACGCTGGTTTAGCCCGTGGACTTGACGCAGAAGTTCTCTGAGCGTTGGAGACTTACCATACTTGAATTCAATATCAAAGTCGAACCCATCCACAGCAACCCGACCATTCTCGTCAATGTCGAAGGGTCGAGGACCGTCGAAACCGGGATCATAAGGACCAAAGATGGAGTGAAGCTGCTTGGCGAAGGCCTCGGCCTCGTCTTCTTCTAGCACATCATAACCACACGGCGCGCTTTTGCAGTGTCCGCCGACCGACAGTATGATTCTCTTGCCCTTGCTTTGGCAGTATCGGATGTCCTGCTTGATCGTGTCGCAGTTCATGATGAGTGCCGTGTTGCCACCGTTGGCCGGGTTAACGTAGAACTCCTCATCACCGCAATGGGCACCACAATGGCCAGCAAAGTTGATCCCAGGATATCCGTTGCCATATCTTGGTGACTTGTTGACAAAAGACAGCGTGACGGAGGTGACGCCAGTCACATCGCAGTAGCTGGCTAACCGATCGGTCTGGTCGCCAAACTGGCCCCAGTAGATGTTGAGTCCGCCAGAGGTCTTTGCAAGGACGGGGCTTGCTATGACCGCCACGGCTATGACAGCTTTCAGAAACGTCGTAAGCATATTACTGATAACGCCACGACCAATGCAGAGATAGTTGGACTTCGAGCCTCGTCGATGAAACAATATGAAATACCAGAAAGAGTAAGAGGCGACACAAGGAAAGACGTTGAGCAGACAAATCTGGCTACATTGCGAACGCCACCCGAAAGCCAGGGGATTCAGCTGGCTTTTCATCAAGCAGTTTCTCGTTATGCTCACAAAGGAGCTCCATTCGGAAGATTTCTCATCCTCAAATCTGGAAAAGGGTCCGGAAAATCACTGCAACAACCAGGGGGCCTGACATCTAGAGGCTCTGACACGAAGTCTTCTGTAGAGCACTGACCCCGACGTTCGTCCGTCGTCCGTCGCCCTTGGATCAGCTATACATGATACATGTACACCAGCCGCTGCGGTCTAGACGCCAGGGGTACAGCGCATCCCCAGTCTTCAACGGGCTCGACTTCAAGTGCCTGGTCGCTTCTTAGCGGTTTGATGAGAAGGGATTACCTACTTCTTTGAGCCAAGCGTGGGCGGGGGTCCAGCGGGTAACAAGGGTCAGGTTAGACTTTGCGTATACGCGGGAGGCTTTCGCTGAGGATTTGGACCGGTGGCCCTATACGTACGTATAACGAGGTTTCTAGGGGGATGCGGAACATGCGTACATGGTAGCCATTTGCCATGCGACGGTCACATTGCAACGGGCAAGGAAAGGCAGCGATATTTGCCGCCTTGGGGACGTCTTGATGGCAGCAGATCTACCTGTTATTGAACGATGGTAGAAGCGTCCGATGGTACCCTCATCGAGGCGCTGTAGTAGCCCATCTGATGTACTGGATGAACAGCATTCTCGGAGATGCGTTTGAACTGGGTTCCTGGAAGGATCCGACAAAGAACCTGGATACATGCCGACTGCCGATTCAGCCAAGAATAACGAGAGACGGTACTCCATGAGAAATGATAGGTAGCAGGGGCTTCATAGCCATACAGTATGATGGCCACCATCTTGTCGAACGGCTCGTTAACTCAATGGAGACCTGGTTCAACTCCATTTGGACGGTGGTCGATGGACAGGTCGCTCTGTGACAGAAGATCTGTGTCAACATGCCAAGGGAATTGGAAACCGTCCGTGGCGAATGGTGCCGCGCGATGTTGCTTCAATCGATTGTTCTCAAAGCCGTGGGACTGCAGTGACCACGGACATGACCCTCAGTCACTGTGTGTTACTTTGGACCCTTGCCCAGAGAGCTCAGCTGTGGTCTGACATACCTTACTCGGCCGGGACAGGAGGCAACGTGTTTCTGAACAGGGGTTGTTCGAATGTGGACTGGCGACTGACTACCAAACCTTATTCTGATGCGAGATGTCCCTGGGATAGCGCGAATGGCCAGGGCTAGGGGTGATTTGGTGGGCTGTTCTGAGGGTTGATGAACCTTCAGTTTGCCTGCGATGAATCTCCGTGCACTGCTTCCAGTTAGCCTTTGAATCGAATCTTCCATGTATCCACGCGTTTCTGTCACAACGAGGCAGGTCATACTTCTGGCGCACCTGCTTTCTAATATGGAAGACGACCTATTTATGGATAGTCTTGAACTCAATGTCAGGCAGGGGCGTCTGAAAACTGCAGAGCAGTGCGAATGATGCTCGGCCGAGAATAGCAGTTCCAGCGTGCACATCGTCACGGCCGCCGTCAAAGCTTCCGGCTCGGGTCATGATGTGAAGTGATCGATTGGGTTTGTGTTCCTTCGCCTGGTGTTCGCGTCACTATGTCAACCTAGTTATCTCACTTACTTGACATGCGGCACAATGCCTTCATGGCTACCTCATATATGAACACCTTCACTACAATGGGCGGCGGGCGCCTGGGAAGCCCGTGCCCCCCTCCCAGCATCTGGATATGTTGGCGTCAAATTATTGTTTCGGGCTTCAACGCCTTTGGTGGTGGCGCTGCTCGGCCTGCTTCACCGATAAGGGGTTTCCTAGCTGATTAAGCGGCATCCAAATGTCTGTTGGAGATTTGGCGAACGCTAATTCGACATGGGTCCTTTCGGCAATTTTTGTAAATAAATGGTTCTCATATAAATGCTGCAAAATCCTAACCTCGGAGCAAAGAAAAGCATGCCAATGCGTCTGAGACATAAATTTGGGTTACAGATGCTGTGGTCGGTTGGCTGTTGACTCGGAGGGCGGCTGGATGTAAGGCCGTAATTCCATTAATGTTGCATCGCATTCATGGTTGATGCTACCAGTCTCGTGCACGGATGACGACGGCAGACCAATGGAACCATCTCCTGAGTCAGAACATCACCGGTCTGATAAGGATGGGCTGAGAAGCGACACCGAGCGAGACCAAGGAGCAAGAAATAATCAGACACATGAAAGGCAAACATGTTGGAGGATGCTCAGCCGCTCGGGAATTGGATGGTCTTGATGCTCAAGCCGATCATCTAGCCTTTCGATTGTCGACCCGATCCCAACAGTGCGGAACGGAATTATTCAACGTGATGACGGGCAAGGCTGAATCGAAAACAGTCACCCTAACATCACCGCTCAACAAGCCCGAACCGACAATTGACAGCTGATACCGATTTAGCTAGGCCTGAAGGTCTGAGCTTGCAGACCCTGAAATGAAAGCAAGCAAAGCAACAGTCATCGCAGGGGCCTGCTCCAGAAGCGCGATCATCCAGCTGCAGGCATGGCAAGCAAGCCTTTTACCCAACTCAGGCTGAGTACAAGTCAGGGACAGGTTCCGAAGACAAGGGAATGCGAAGGAACACCTGGCAGATTTTAACAACAATCGTACTCAAAATGGAGCTTGACAGCCGACAAGAGATGCTTGACTGACACCGATACCCACAAGCCGAGGCAGATGTTCAGGCTGTAGAAGCTGACATTCTGATCAGAGATGACAGAGCGTTATCTTCCAGGCCCTATTGACGGACGCGGATCATGCGCCATCAAGCTCTGGGGTCTTGTGTCGTACACATGTGACGAAGTCGAGAAGGCCTCCAAACGGAGCCTGTACAGGACCATGGAAATAGACAACACAGCAGCGGCCTCATGGCCAGAGCTCGCGGGCTGAGAGCGATGTATCTAGCCAGCTGTGATGCTCCATTCATCAGCCTTTTGCGAGAAATCCAGGTAACTTTTCGGTCCCGCTCGCCCATCTGGCAGAAGGGGCAGCACATGAAAGAGAATATTCGGTTTGCTTCCCCGCGTCTCAACACCGCCGCCATTCAATCTTGCCCTCTCTGGGGCTTCTGATGTATTGAGGATATGAAACCTCGCTGCGGTTTGCGCATGAGCTTTGGGCTATAAAAACGAGGCTGCGAATCGACTGGCAGCGTGATTGTTTCATCAGCCGTGGCCGTCTCTGTTTGTACCGTATTTCCAAGGGTTACCGACGTCGTGCTCCATGTCGTGGCAGAGCAGAGGTTGTTGTATCGTTTCCATCGCCATTCGTCTCCTCCGACTTGTCGAGGTGCATATCGACGCCTTTGTGTGTAGAGTGACCACATGACCATACACGGCATTCATCGAGGCCATGGGCGAACTGCAACCAGTGTATTCCTCGCGCCGTCAGAAACAAAAAAAAAAGATGATATGTACACACGCCTCGCTCTAGCTGTATACACGGCTCAGTTTCGTAGCCATCCTCAGCTCCACGTCATTCTCTTTCCGTGCCGGGGCACATGCCCATCTGTCTCTTTGCCTCCATCCCGTCCACCTACAAGCCGAGTATTCCCCCAGTGACACCACGCTCTCTAACAAGCACCATTTTACCGGTAGGGCGAGTCGGCGCGGATGACGGCAGCCAGCTCAGGCTCCCACTTATCACCGTTGCTCAGCAGCTTCTCCTTGTTGTACAGCAGCTCCTCGCGAGTCTCGGTGGCGTACTCGGCGTTGGGGCTCTCGACGATGGCGTCGACGGGGCACGACTCCTGGCAGAAGCCGCAGTAGATGCACTTTGTCATGTCAATGTCGTAGCGGGTCGTGCGGCGGGAGCCGTCGGCGCGCTCCTCGGCCTCGATGGTGATGGCCTGCGCCGGGCAGACGGCCTCACAGAGCTTGCAGGCGATGCAGCGCTCCTCGCCCGAGGGGTACCGGCGGAGGGCGTGCTCACCGCGGAACCGGGGGGAGATGGGACCCTACTTTGACGTTAGTCTCGAGGATACTCTGGAATGTATTTCGGTTTGCCTATTGATGGCGCGCTGCGTACCTTCTCGAAAGGGTAGAAGATGGTGTAGGGCGGGCGGAAGAACTGCTCCATGAGCACGTACATGCCGCGGAACATCTCGGTCAGGAGGAAGTAACGTCCCATGCGGTCCAGAGTGCTCTCCTTCTCCTCGTTCCATCGCAGGTAAGGCGCCTGACGGAAGTTCTTGGGCGGCGGGCCCGAAGGGGTGGCGTAGCCGCGAACGGTAGCAGCCGCGAGAAGTCGGTTTGCGAGGGCCGGGTTGGCCGCAGCCGAGCGAGCCAGTGCACGAGTCGATGTCGCGGCGAACATGGTCAATGGTCGAGCTGCCGGCGCCATTGTGTTGTATAGTCGGTAGGACGCCGGAGGAGGGGAGATTCGGACGCCAATGGGAGGGGTTGAGGGTGGTGAAGTCGGGAGAGGGAGGCGAGCTTGTGGTGGTTGCTTGACGTGATGGATTGTTGGCTGGATTCTTTTGCGGGATTACAACTACCGGGGATTGATTGGCTGGCGGGGGCCGGTCGATTGGATCACGTGATAGCTTTTGGGGAGCTGCTGCTCCGGCAATAGGTGGTGAGCTGCACGTGACTTGGGTGACCTCGACTGGCCGGGCGAAGAATTTATCATCATTCGAACAAGCTCCAAGCTCCAGTCGCCCGCGTTGTCATTGCCATCCATCGCCTCCACCCGATTCATCCGCCGCCCATCCATCCACGACCTCCTACCATTCCACATCTCGAGATACCCTCCCTCAAAATGTTCCGCACCGCCATCCTTCGCTCCGCCAGCGCTGCTGCGCGCGTCGCCCGCCCTGCCGCCATGCGCGCCCCCGTCCTCCGCCAGACCGTCACCCCCCGCCTCGCCGTGGCGTGGAAGCCCATGGGCATCAGGATGTACTCGGCCGGTGGTGCCCTGAGCAAGGAGGAGGTTGTAACGAGGATCAGCACCCTGCTCGCCGGATTCGACAAGGTCAACGACCCCAAGAACGTGGGTACCCCCTGAACCCGAAGAACGTTGAGGCCGCGCAAGGGAGGAGAAGAAGAACGCATTGGGAAACGAATGCCGCCGGATCGATGTGGGAGAAGAGGGAATATCGTCGACGGAGGCTAATGTCAACAGATCAACGCGACGGCGCACTTCGCCAACGATCTCGGCCTCGACAGCCTCGACACCGTTGAGGTTGTCATGGCCATCGAGGAGGAGTTCAGCATTGAGATCCCGGACAAGGACGCCGATGGTATCCACTCGGGTACGTTTCTTCTTCGGCGCTGCATTGGCCTCGCGCCGTGCAGCTTGACATGGGAACGCTTCAGCTAATAAATCCCCGCAGTCGAGAAGGCCGTCGAGTACATCCTCAGCCAGCCCGATGCCCAGTAAATGCTCAACCTGTTGCTAGCACCTGGAAGACCGGAGTTTGACGAGAAGAGGACGACGAGCGGATGTATAATACCTGCCTGCCTACGGAATCGGGATGATGGACCACGCCACTCGCAGTAGTCAGGTGTACAGCCCCGGCAACTTGTGCAGCCAGAATATTGGAGCACGGAGGCCGAGAGCAAGGAGATGGCGTTCACGAAGGCAGCTGGCACGTGGGACGTCGTGGTACGCTGGCCTTGGAGGGCAGCGAGCCTTGTATAGTGTATAGACTTGTACCGCCTGCTTGAGCCTCATACTGTGAGGTATTATGACATGTGGATGTGCCGCGCCGTGATGATCAAGATCTGTATGGCTCACACCATTTCACGCATATCTACAATCGTCAAGCTTGGTTGTTATTTTACCTTCTGATAGAAGGAGAGTCTAGATTGTCACGACATGAACCACACCAACAACCATAAGGCTTGTATAAAAGAATCTTGTCTTGGATCTCGTATTTAACATAAGGCTCGCCCCGCATGAACTATCCAAAAGCCACCTTGACCGAAAGTACTGTATATTACGCAACCGTGCCAAAATCTCAATCAAAACGCCAACGTACTCCATATCACCCAAGATTGCAGCCGCCGCCTGTCTTGTCCAAGTCCGATTCCTTGCTTTCCCATCTTTTTGATGACCATGTCGTGTATTTTTCCGTAACCCGTTATCTGAAGGGTGTCTGCCGATGCCTTGGGGAGTTGAAACCCAAAAAGTGATGTCGTTGCAGATCGTGGCGAAAGATTGTTTGCTGGGCTGATTGTGCGACAGGAAGGGGAGACTGTGTTGACCGCCCAATGCTGTGGAAGAACGCCGGAAATGAGATGCCCTCTCCGCTATGCTGATATCCCACCTCTTACCGTCCGCCCACTGTCTCCACTGTGACAGATGGCTCACGCGACTCTTTTGCGAGGCTCGAACCCGGAGCGACAGTCTTGGCGGACAAGACACCGGCGTAGCTCCAGCCGCTGCCGCCGCCTCCCATGCCGAGTCCTGCAGAGATGCGCTTCCTCTGCCGAGCTGCCTGCTGCTCGTCGCTGTCCTCCTCCATGTTGAAGACGAAAGCTGGATCCTCCTCGTCGATCGGGGTTGTGAAACGTCCGGATGATCCGATGGAACCACTGGAAATGTGACGTTCAATGGCCGAACCACGCTCCTTGCCAATCGCACCCGCGCCGTTGCTCACGGTTCTTCCAGCAGCCATCATGGGGTGAAGGCGAGGGCTGCCGTTTCCATCGTCGGCGAGGCGCGTTCGCGAGAGCTGCTGGGTGAGAGCAGAAGTCGTGTCGCTGCCGGAGCGGCTACCTGGAGTATGGCGCCCAGCTCCGTTGAGACCGTTGCTCATCTCGTTGGAAAGGACCGAATTGCGCAGTGGGCTGCCAACATGGCCGAAAGCCGAGGCCTTGCTGAAGCTACGACTCTCCAGCTCCTCCTCCTTCTGGCGCTGGAACAAAGGACCCCAACGGCTCGGACTTGCACCAGCAAGGGGGCTGCCAAATTTGGTTGCATTCTCGCTGCCGGGCTCGCTGTCGATTGCACGAATGGATCCGCGTCGGGCCTTCTCCGCAGGTGTTAGGAGTTCCTGGAGGTTATGAGGCACATAATCCTCCTCAAGGAAGGCAAACTCGGCATCCCAATCGCGATCGACAGCCGCCTTGGGAAGGCTGGCACTCAACATCTTGGGCTTCGCGAAGCGGCTCGAGTGCATAGTCCGGCGTCCAAAGTACTCCTCGCCAACGGGGTGGCTGGGCGGGCTGCTGCCGAGGCCTGCATTGGAAACTGAAAGGTATTCATTGCTGCCAAAGGCAGAAGTATGCAAGCTCTTGAGGGTCTCCGAAGTTCGGTCGTCCTTGGCATTGCTGAGAGACGGAGTCGGCGACTCGAGGCCAAATTTGGAGGGAACAGAGGAAGGCCACGGCGCGGCAGGGTAGCGCGCAGCGTTGGAGATGCCCTGTGAGTCGAAAGAGGCAGGGAGGGGGGCATCGAGTACAGAGAGACCGTTGACGTTGACCGGCGAAAGACCAAGGCCCAGCCTGGAGGCATCTTCGTCGCGCGGTGAGCCATATTGTGAGCCGGGGTGTGAAGAGGAGTAGGTGGTATCGATGGTTGGTAGGCCGTTGTCGAGGCTGGGCTGACGGCCGAGGTGTTGCTGTCTATCCTCGCCGTACGGGTACGCAGACGTGTAGGCGGGCACGCCGTCGCGATAGAGACCCGAAGTCAAGGCGCTGGTGGTGGAGGGGTGGTATGGGGTTGAGGTCGGAGGGTTGCCTCGGGCGCCACCGAGGGCTATCGGAGCTGTGCCAATCGTGACTCCGTTCTTCCCGTAGTTGATGCGGCGCCCGTCGGGTAGGATGTGAATGTTGGCGCACTTGGGCCCGAACTTGCAATTGCCCTTTCACATTAAAGTCAGTGTACAGCGACGGAATTGGTGGGGTCTACCTCGAACAGACCTTGGCGAAATATTTGCAAATGGTCTCAGCCGAAGCACCCAAGTCATGGCTGAAAGGGCACGCACTGCCAGCCTGGCAAGCGCCCTGGCGGAAGAACTTGCATGGAACGTGAGAAGTGTCTGCGTCTGGGTAAGCGTTGCGTTGTGGCGGGTCAATTGCAGACAAGTCACATACTGGGAGGACTGCGAGGACCCTCAAAGCGCGGGGCGGCGGAGGGCATGTTGGGCGGGTGGCCGTTTTGCGGCGTGATGTTGAGACTGCCGGAGCGCACGTGGCGATGCTCGGTAGAGGGCATGCTGGTGAAGAAGAGGCGCGAAGCGTGATGGCACGAGAGCAATCTGTAGCGATGGGAGTCGTAAAAGATGGTGCTTGACCACAGAGGGGCCGAGAACGGGTTGCGGACAGTGACTAGAGGAGGGGCCTGGTCACGTCAGGTCGAATCTGGCGTAGTCGTTCGGGTGGTTGACTCAGCAGCCCAGCGAGGGGCAGCGCAATGGCGCGATAGGAGGGGAAGGCGGTGATAAAGGCGGCGGTTGAGGAGGGGCTGGTTTTCGTTCCAATTGTGCAGGGTAATCTATTGATTCGGCTCGCAGTGTGTGATGGGTAGTCGAAGGGCTGAGCTGATGGCATGCAATAGTGTGAGAACCAAGGCGAGCAGCAGAGGCAGGTTGTCGCCGGCAAGACTGGACAAGACCTAAGTTCGATGATGGAGGGGGTGGTGCTGGACAGGCCAAGGGACGACAGATCGGGGAAGAGGGGGGGTCAAGTGAAGCTCCTGATTGAGCCGAAGTTTGGAGGTCAAGAGTCGCAGTCTTGGCTTGGATGGGGGTTGGCGATCTGGCGGTCTGGCGAATCAAGCGAGCGGTGGCTCTTTCGCAGGGGTCCGGCGGACGATGATGTGCGCTGGTATGCGCTGGGAAGCCTGGATTCTGCCTCTGAGATGCTCGTCGCAGCACTCACTGCCTTCTGTCAACAAGCGACGGGTGTGGAACTGGTGGTGGGTAATGTCGGTGCGGGCATGTGCCAGGGTCTGGGAGCCAGATGAGGGGTGTCGCCGCAGCGCGAGACTGCGAATGGTGGCGATTGGGTGATGGATGGCGTAGTAGGAGGAGGGTGGGCCCGGCTCAAGCTGATGAGTTATGTCGAGGTTGAATATTGACTCCAATGGCACTGCAAGGGGGAGTCGAGGCGGCCGGGAGCAGAGGAAGGATACCCAGGAGACTGGCAGCAGCAATACTACTTGCCAGAGCAGAAGAACCACGAGGGGAAGAATGCCAACAGAAGAACGACGTGTGGGGACCCAGTGTGGAGGTGGAGGTTGTACAGGTACAAGCGCAGACGCAGGCGCACGCACAGGTGCAGGTCGTGCAGGCCGTACAGGCGCAGGCAGTGACACAGGCGGCGATGAGATAGTCGCGTACTCTTCGCGCCCATGTCACTCGTAACCGGATTTCCGTGGACGAGTACCTAAACGATAAGGAAGGCCGACTAACTGGTGAATCAGTTAAGCAGGGATGATGATGGCGGTATTGGTAGGAGCCTAGGAGGACAGGCGGAACGAGAGGATGGATTATCAGATCCAGAACCACGATAACAGGAAAGGGAGAAACATAGAGGAGACGGCAGTATAACCTTCGAGATGGGGGGGCCGGCTCTTAAAGGGGCGACGTGAAGGCCTCCGCAGTTGACTGGGCCTTTTCCCCTCGGTGAGGTGCACAAGACCAGAGAGCAAGCAAGGCTCAGACCAACACTCGTCAAGCGCAAGGTAGGTAAGGTACGACAGGCAGTCAGTCAGTCAGTCAGTCGGTCGAGATTGTCTACCTTGTCTGAACCGTCATGTCTTGGTGGTTGGTTGGCCGTTGGGTATGACCTCCAACACTTGATTCACGAACCAGCGACTCTGCGTTGAGCAAAGCTCCATTCCCTTGCTGCCATGCCTGCCATGCATCGCCATGCTGTCTGTCCCGTCCTGTCTTGCCTCGCCTCTTTTGTCTCTGTCTACATCCCCTTTCCTCTCTGCCCTTCTTTCCCTGCGTATTTCCCCCCCTTTCTCACTGTTGCCCGCCTTCTTAACTGCTTCCATACACACCAGAGGCATGGCTCCCGTGCAAGGATCCTCTCGCCTCCCCACCCCCCTGCCTTACACGACGAGGCAACCTTGCCTGCTCGAGCCTCGCCCCCCTCTGAGACATTACACCAATGTGGTGTGGTGGGTGTGCGTCCATCCGTCCCTCCTCTCCACCTTCGCTGTGTGCATCACCCACGCCGTGACCCTGCCTCTTGCTGCCCCATGCCACGGCCTCCCGTGGCCTCCCATAGCCCATAAGCTAGGTAATCACGCGGCCAGCCCAATGATGCAGCCGTGCATGGAGTGTATGACTGCGTGAGTAACAGAGTCGAGGCGTGATTTATGAGCGTCAGCCTGCCCCGCGGTGAGCTCATAGGGAGGAACCCATGTTCGTTGACTGGGGCATTCTTCAGTGTTACGTGAGGGTTCGTGATGAGGCCTGCGTACCGGGCAGCATTTACTGGACAGGGAGAGGAGGGGCGAGCGCAGAGAGAAAAGAGGTGACACAAGATCCATCATGGCTCAAGCGAATGGCTTGGCTCCGATGATAGCATCAGTGCTAAGTGTGAGCACGGATGAGGTGATAGTTCGCTTCAGTGCAGGCCTCCCGAGCTGGACCAAGGTCAACATCATATCCACTGATGGATCACGTCCAGTGATGGAAGGTGGGGGAGCAGAGCGCGGCAGCACGGCAGTGGCAGTTCCCGTTCAGGCCTGAACAATCCAGAAACAGCGACTTGTTCAGGGCTCCCGTTCCCTGTAGCGCACCCGATTCGAGACCCGTCCCGAACCCCGGAGCGTTCCTTTCCAGCGGATTTCAGGCCGTCGCAGCCAATCGTCATCACGCTCTCCGCCCCAAGCCAGGTGTCGAGCACCAGCACCAGGCAGTAGTGTGGTCCTTGTCTCGCGACCGCCAAACCTACTCAACCTCCATTCCAGCATCTTCAGCTCCCATCGACATTGTCCACTGCTCACCGCATCGTCAACTCCAACATCATTTGCTTCCAGCAGCCCCCCTAGCCACCATGCTCCTCAGCAGTGTCTTACTATTATCGTCAGCCGCGGACGGCACGGCATGGGAAGCGAGATGTCTTGGTCCATTGCCACGCTTCCTCGATCTGCCTCTCTCTTTCTTCCCCTCACCCTGCCGACACGGCGGGCCATCAACAGATCGCACACATTCCACCGGCAGCCATCTTGGACCTCTGGAGCACTGCGACATGCATATTGACACAATGATCCGGCAGGTAACACACACACAGCAAACGCAGTACACGCAGCTCCCATGTTCCCCCGTTTGTCTCGAACACCTGCAGGTAGCACCCCCACACGATCCACGTCTCTTTCAACCTCGTCATCCAGTCGAACGCGATCAACGAGCCAAGACAGCACTTGTCGAAACACACGAGATCTCTACGACGCGTCCCTCCTCTCGTATTCATGATCTAGTATCCTTCCGCCACCAAGTGAACCCTCTGCCTCTGCTTCGTCCGCTTTGGGCCACACTCACAGCCTTCGGATGCGATCAGCCGATGCACCAGGCCTGTTGAGGGAGGTCGGTCACAGCCTGACCAAGAAAAGAAAATGAAAGAATAATTGAGGCTTGTCGATAATCCGTTGCGCAACTTGAGTGCTCACTTCCTTCTCAGAACATTCCGTTAGGCCATGGCGGATTCGAGCCTGTCGTGCCATCTTTACGTCGGCTGTCACCTTACACAGAGATGTCCGGGTCGTCGTCCGATGCAGCAGGTGGCTGCCTTGGTCGCACATCCGTAGTCGCCTCGCCGTATTCATCCTCGTTCTCGTTGTTATGGCATAGTTTCGCTCCCCGCCCCCCCTTGTCACGAGCTACTACACCGCGGCCACTTCTTGGTTGGGTTCTTTCCGCGGGAGCTGCGCCTGCGATCCTTTCGCGGTGCTCCTCACGAAACACAGACTAGGGTTCAGAGGCGAACTCTACCGCACGAGTCGCTAGTACAATAGCATGCTGGAGGTGCATTTCCGTGGGGGGAGGGGGGGTGGTGTGCGAAGTATGTACATGTAGATGGAAAGAAAGAGGCTGCAGACCACTGCGAGCGGGACCCGATCTGGCTGCAGCAAGAAAGTGGGTAAATGCAGGCAGATGCCATGCAATGCCATGCCATGCCCTGTCCTGCGCCTCGCGCGACTACTCGAAATGGAAACCAAACAACAACCCCATCTGACAAGTCCTAGAAAGTCCTTTACCCGGCTGCTTCGATATCTTGCCTACTTGAGGCCCATATGAATCATGATGGCCGTTTGACGCCGCACCGAGCACGCCGCCCCGCGACCCACCTGTCACATGGCCTTGCAGCTTGTTCTATTTCGACCCCTCACCTGGTCTGGCCTGGCCTGTTCACGTCGGCTTGCCAAGACAACGATGGCAGCGACATTCCCGCGTTGCCGCCTCTCCCGTCGATGGGCTTCGTGAAAGCAAGAGGGGCTGGGATGGGGAGCCTACGAGAAAGCTAGGCCTCTCATCAGGCGGCCCACGATCGAACAAGTACACCAGGGTTAGGGAGGGGGGCTTCGCTACCTGACCGTGACAAGCATGCAGGAGCCAGAAACAGGGTCCTGTCCGCCAATGTCGATGATCGCAAGATGCCGCTCATCTTTTGGGCAAAATGTCTACGACGATTTGCCTCAGCCACCATAAGCGGAACAAGGACCATCCCTGGTTCTCCGCATCGTCCTACGAACGCTCGCCAACTGGTGGTCTATCTGCTAACTCCCAAGCCATCATTGCCTGCCGCTCGAGCTAACGACGTTGCCTTGGGAGCTAGTCCATCGCTCTTCAACTCGTGCCATAGCGGCACACCACTGCCCCCAGCATGTGGTCTACTGGCGCAAACCATGTTGATGACGGACCCAGTGGTCTGTCTATTGGTCTTCGGGTCGAGCAACGCGCTATCTGATCTTACCCTATCACTCTGTCCGTCCAGTCTCCTTTCCCGATATCTGACGCCTTATTATGCTCCGGCGTCCAAGTGCGACCAGGGCTAGATGTCTCGGACAAATCATGCCAGACTCTCGACACACCATCATCCTGACCCCTACACGCGCTCTCTCTCTCTCTCTCTCTCTCTCACACACACACACCACCACCATCATCATCCTCCTCGAAAGCCCCTAAATCCCCACACTCCTAGTCTATCCCGGTTGCCCTCCTTCAGCTCGCTGCCCCAATGTTGCTTCTCGCCTCCATTTCAGGTGAAGGTCGACCTCCTTTTCCCTTCGTCTCTTCGTGTCACCGCATGACTACTCGTTCCATGTTGGTGGGCTCTAGCAGTTCTGCTGAGATCGCCCCGCTGCGCTATGGGACGCACACATACCTCCGCCTCGCCAAAGGCGTGCGCCACAGCCAGCCACAAGTCTGAGGCGGTCTGGGGAAGTATTCGTAATCATTCCGATACTCTTTTTCCTTTGGCCATGCGCCATCTCCACGACTGTGAATATTCCTGCACGTCACCCGTTGAGGCAGCGCCTAGACTGTGACCTGGAGGGACAAGCCAGTATCTCTCATTTTCTGCCACCAATGATCACTATTCCGGCTTCCGGTCATCGTCCAGGGTGCTCACTGTATCGAATGCTTACACCAGGTACTCCAAAAGCGTGCTTTCAGAGGGGGCTGCTGTGCAACTGGCCCCGTTCACTGTCGCCGAACGGGGAAATCGGGTTGCGTTTTCCACGCTTCATTGGAGAGACATTCCATCTGCACACCATCTCCTGCAAGATGCCTCATTCCGGGCCCTAGCAGGACATACTCTGGCGATCCCATGACTCCACCCATCCCTCTTCAAGCGCCCGCCACATCCCCCGTCCAAGCACCATTACCATGAAGGTAGCATCCGGTCGGTAGTTTCGGGTCATGAGCATCGGACGCGACTTTTCTGACTTTCTTGACTTGAGATCTGGAGGGTGCTTGCGTCGGCAGTGGCGGTGGGGTAGCATCGCGGCTTTCAAGTGAGACGAGACCTTCGTCTGTCTATCTAGCCGTCTGACTATCCAGCTTCAGACGCTGAGTAACTACGATCTTCACGGCACTTGGGTGTTCATCATCCCAGATGGTGTCGTGATATCCAGCCCCGTGTGACGCCCCTTTTCTCGCCACAAGCACATTTGTGAATCGATTTCCAGTGTCAGGGGCTTTGCACCACATCATCATGACGGAAACTTCAAGACACTGCGGCACGAGAAACAAGCTTACAAGCCATGACATGAAGGGGGCACGTACTCTTCTCCACCGCCCGAGGGCCGTCACGACGCGTCCGTTTACCGCGTCAGGCCACTATCTAGTGCCCATAGCTTCGGACGGCAGCCTCTCATAGTCCAACCATTCACACCACGGCACTGGCTCCGAATCCACGCGACGCACAGTCGCACAGACTTTCTAAAGGCACAGACTGCTCCAAAAGGTCAGCGGGGTGCCCCCCCACTCCCCCCCCCCCCCCCCCCCCCCTCTCTGCCTTCATGTGACCTCGCGAGGACTGGACTCGCCTGCTGCACAGCTGCCGCATGGTGTGTGGGTTGTCTCACGCGGAAGCGAGGGGGCCAGCCCTTTGTATGAGCAAGTCAACGATAAGGAGGGTCATGGTCTCGTTTCTGCTCTGAGAACCGGTTTCCTGGTCCTCAATTCTCGACGCTGGTTTTCCCCGAGAACGGAAGGGGGGTGCGAGACGCGCCTTCCGGACGATTTTTTGTTTTGCCATTTGCGGGTGAGGGGGTTTGTGAGGACATGTCCGCTGAGTTTACTAACATTCATTCGCTCGGGACCGACGGGTGATCAGCTGAGCGTGATGATTTCCTTTGGGCGGATCGGGTGTCGCCGTGGAGTGTCTCTTGTCCGGGGCCCGGCCTTGGGACTGACGGCTCTATCTCTGTCCTTAGCAAACCGTCTAGGTCTGAACATAGGTTTTTCGTGTCGTTACCTTTTGGCGTTGTCATCCCTACGTGTCATCTCTACGGTGTTGGGCTATGGGACACTTGCCGGACGGCCCTTTGAATCGTCAGGGTCACCAGGAGAGGGGCTTAGACTGGTATGATAGAGCGGCCTAAAACTGTGATGCCAAAGTGTATCATGTTACACAGACGCTTCGCGTGATCTCGGGTGATGGATTTCACGGAGTGCATTCTACTTGTGGTTGCTCCCTGCGTTAGCCCTGGTATCAAGGATTGTACCGGGTAGTACATTAGGATTACGTGCACAGCCATGACGGATTGACAAATTACTTCACAGTCTTCAGGTGAACACTTGATATCATGAGCAACAATACTTCCGCGACGTTAAGTCTGCAGTGAGAATAAGGGGTTCGACTCGCTGGAAATGGTTGGAAAAGCCAGGACACATAGCCTTTCCGACTGAAGCGACGTCTGAGGTGTGTAGTGTTAAACTGGGCCACTGGAACCCGATATTCATGAAAGTTGACCTATCTTGACACTCTCCTCTAGGACCAATATATGCTGATCTTTTAGCCGGCGGCAATCGGACGATGTGCTGGATAGTGCATGCTCCGATTCGTGCGCTCTGGTCTTCTACATTATCCGCTTATTTATGAGCGTGGTACGCTTTGACCACGACGGGTACTATCACAGTGTTAGATTCAGCATTCCAACAGCTCTCAATGATGTTCAACTGGGTTGAGTCTGCAGGACATCCCACTTTCGACACTGCACGTTGGTATCCGGCCACGAATTTGTGTGGCCCCTCAACGCGGGTGACAAAATCCATTTAGATAATCCGTAATGGCATGATATGCTTTTGAATAGATATTCCCCCGTCCAAAAAGCCCTTTCATGAGCACGCCGGCAGGGCTCCCACGCTTGTCGCTGTGCGATGCAGCGCCACCTCCGCAGCCCTGCGCCGGGTCAGTCCGGGCAGCACCTGTCCGCCACCTCTGTTCCACTTGGGCAGCTCCTCGGCCGCGACAGTATTAGGATCACCGCCGGCATTGAGGCGCTGGATTAGGGTGCTCGTTCTTGTAGCGCCGCAACCGACGTTGAAGGCCCAGGAGACGAGGGCTCCGTACTGATTGGCGTTCAGAACGACGGAGGAAGCTGTCTGGAGAGTGATGCAGTTTTGGAAGCCCTATCAAGTTAGGTTGGGTTTTAGGTGAGACAGAGAGGGGAACTTACTGCAATGTCGTCGCGGAGGAGTTGCTCGCCGTTTGCGCGGGATAGCGGGATGGGGTACCGGACATCCGAACAACTCGAATCGGCACACAAGTGGCCGTATCCGACGGTAGGCAGACCGACTGGGTCAATGTCTGCTGCAGTCAGTTCCTGGCCTTTGGGAGGGAGTCTCGTGGGCGTATCACGTACAGATGTTGGGGTACCATCCCTCGAACTCGGTGATGAGGCTGATTGTGGCGGCGTTTACATTCGGTCCAGTGCACTGAGACTGGACTTGGCTGGCGCCGAGAAGAGCGAGGACGGCGGTTGTCAAGTTGAATCTGGCCATTGTGATCTTGAGGTATTTTGCTGATTGCTGATGGGTGATGTCTAGATCCAATCTAATCAATGAGGAAGACACATCTTATATATCTGAGATCAGTGTCGTGGTCGGCCTCCTCCGACGTCATCCGTACTCCCCGAGGCTCTGGCCAAATGATCGTCAACGCAGCACGCCTAAATACTCCTTTTCGAGTCGGTTCGTCCCCTCGAATTCCTTGACTCGTATGTTTTCTGAGCCCCTGACTGTACGCATCGTGGCACTGCGGAATGAGTCCGCCTCGCCGATCAGCGGCTGAGTTGCAGGATCGGCGGTGCGGACCGCTCGGCACTCAAGCCACAACGTCAAATCGTTTGGCCACGGTCGACCGGCTTTTGGTGAGCTTAACTTGTCGTGGAAGGTCAAGGGTCTTTTTTAGGAAGCTCGATAAGAACTCACCTCACGCCACGCCTTTTCTGTGTCGCAATCTGAAAAGACATCAAGTGAGGCCGGTGTTCGTTTCCCTTTGTGCTCGGTGCCCAAGCCACGATTGTCGACTTGAGCCTGTTGCAATTGCCTCTGTGCCACAGCGACTATCACTTACAAGAAGAGCAGGTTTGTGACAGCCCACACGAAGCGTTCAAGACAAGTCTTTTGATCAACTACCTCCTTTTGCAACAATTACGGAATATTTCTCCAAGTATTTCCAAAGACGATCTTCACCTCGCCGTCGAGCTCACTGAGTGCACCAATGAAGCTTCTTCTCGCTTCAAACTTCCGAAACTACTACTGCGATCTAGTCAACATGTTGTATCCAGTCACAGGTTTCGCACCTATGCGCCAAGATTAGTTCATGTTGAGGAGGTGCTACCTGCTGGCTCAGTCCTGCCTCGCTGAGGTCTTTCCAGTGGTGGCTTAGGCAATTCGGGGACATCAAAAATATGCAAACGATGTCACTGTCTGTGTCGCCCTGGAGCATTGCCAGATGTAGGTCGGGCCTCAAAGTGAATCTTTCGGTTACCGTTCCCATCAACCGTCCAGTTGGCAGGGCAAATGACAGATAGACCCAGCTTCTCGTTCCTACCTCTGGTTATTGTGGGAAACTTCATGTTCCTGATGGACGTTCCAAGATCAGCTGCGCCCCGTTGGCTGGAAACGTAGTACGGACCTATCACAAGGGCAACATCCACAGCGATTCAGAATCGTATTGGGGCCTCAGAAATTCCTATTATTGCCGACTTCCCCGCGATGATCTAACATGTTGAGCAAGCTTTAAGAAGGGTTGGGATATTGTGGCAGTATGTGTTAAACTTTGGTAGAGAATGATGCTGTGAACTTCAAAATTCAAAGCAGAGACGGCTTGAGGGCGCTCAAGATGGCATTGAGCGTGTTTTGTTGGATTGCTTAATATAAGCCAACGTGCGCTGCAAGAATCATCCATTGAGTTGATCAGGTTTGCTCCCGCCGTGTACGGTTCAAGTTTGTTGACTGTCAACATTGCGGGAGCCGGCCGACTTCGACAGCTAGTACAGTTCTCTTTACTAGATCAACATGTCGGGGGTAATATGATACGTGCCCAAACGTACGAATATAGCACAGTATAGGCAGTCTACATTGGCACAGGACCGCCATGACCTCAGCAATTTCAACGAAATCCATAGATCTCTCAGCACCCATGCATTAATCGCTCAACACCGAAGCGACGACTTGGTCCAGATTCTCGTCCTCAAAGCCGAGCAGCTTCATAGCAAAGTCATCTCTCTGCGTCCAGTCCGCGTCGAGCGTTCCGATCGCAAACACCAAATCTTCCACAGCAGCCACATCGCCACCGTCCGCCTTGGCCTTCTTCTCCTTGATGAAGGCTTCCGACTCAAGATCGTTGACGGTCCACTTGGCGCCCGTGGCCTTTTCCAGCGACGCAACCAGCTCATTCTGGTCAATGCAAAAGCTCTGGATGAACAGCGTCCGGTTCTTGATCTCCTCGCGCGGATGCATCTTGAGAATCCGCACGACAGCCTCACCAACCCTCGTCAAGGTCGTCGTCGAGGCACGATGGCTCCCACCGTCAAAGATATCAGCCGTGCGCCGCTTCAGGTCCGTGTGGAAGAAGCCCTCCGTGATCCCCCACTCGAAAAAGTGCCCGCAGACGATACCCGCCCAGGTGAAGCCGGGATGCTCATCTGCCAGCTCCTGCGCGCGCAGGCGCACGGCAAGCTTGTGACGATAGAGGGGGACCAGCTCCCTCGCGCGCGCATTGTCAGCGTCAATGCTGCCAAAGTCGGCGGGGATGAAAAGCTTGACGCCTGCTGCGGCGGCAGCCTCGACGAGGCGAATGTGTGCGTCGGGAGTTTTCAGAGGGAAGGCGGCGATGACAGCGCCCTGGCCGGTGAGTGCCTCTTTCAACGAGGCGAAGGTGAGTTCCTTGACGACATATACGACGCGGACTTGGGAGGTGGGGTAGGGCGGAGAGGAGGAGGAGCCGTTGCGGATGACGACTGTCAGGTTGAAAGCGGCCGAGTCGACAAGCTTAGCGAGGAGAACGGAGCCGAGGGTGCCGTTGGCGCCGACGAGAGCGACATTCTCGATGACCATTGTCAGGTTCGGCGGCAGGTCGAGCTTGGTGAGGTTCGAGAGGTGGCTGCGAAGCGGCGGCGAAGCGGGGCGAGGGGGTCGTGGTGGCGTGTTCGGGATGCGATGGCTTGGCTTTGGAAATCGATCAAGATGGAGGTATCGAAGAGCGCATGTATCGTGAAGGTTAATCCTGTCCAATGTGCTCCTCTAGGATCGAATTAGCTCGAGCAGAAAAAGCAGAAACCAAGGCACCGGAGCGAAAACCAGGGTGCGGGCACGAAAGCTGCTTGTGTTGAAGGCGTCATAGGGGTCACACTGGACCGATTGAAGGCGATCGACGGGCGCCTTGGGGGCGACTGTGGGTGTGGTCGTCTGGCCGTGCGGCCAATCAATCCGTGCCACTGTCATCCGGCAGACGCTCGCGATGACTGCCCCGAAGCATCACCGGGTGGGGCCGCCGAGTTTGGGGGGCCGACGTCACATCCGGCCGTCGCCTCCTCAACTGTGGCTGTGCCATGAATGATAAGAGAGGCATGCCTTGGTGACTTTGCGAAGGGAACAGTGGGAGAGAGGGAGAGACAAGTTCCAAACATCAAAGATCAGATTGACCATGACCTGCCAGCGTATCGTGTTGATCACAGGCGCCAACTCTGGCGTTGGGTACGAGGCCATCAAAGCCCTCATTGGCTCTGAGCAGCAGTATCATGTCCTCCTGGGCTCACGATCCGCCGACGCTGGAGAAACAGCAAAAGAGCAACTCCAGGCAGAAGTGCCATCGTCGGAAAGCACCATTGAGATCTTACAGCTCGACATCGACAGCGACCATTCCATACAGGCGGCGTATGAGCGTATTGAGGGATCACATGGTCGTATAGATGTCCTTGTCAACAACGATGGTACGTTCGGTGTGACTCAAGGGCTTCAGCCTGGTGCCGTGACTGACGACACCAGGACACGCGTTGGACTTTGCAGCAGGCACCAACATGACTGTCCGTGAGGCGTTCAACAAAATGTTCGACACCAACGTATCAGGCACTCACGTCTTGACGGAAACCATGGCGCCACTTCTGCTGAGGTCGTCGGATCCTCGCCTCCTCTTCCTGACGAGCAAGCTGTCGACGTTTGAAACCATGGCCCAGGGCCCAGAGCCGTGGCCGGTGCCGCCCGCAGGATGGCCCAAGACGACACGGGCACCGTCGGGACCTGAGACGCTAGGACCTGTCGGCTACCGCACGAGCAAGACAGCTGTCAACATGCTCATGCTGTCATGGCATCACATCCTCTCGGAGGACAAGGTCAAGGTTTGGGGTGTCATGCCAGGTTTCCTGATCACGGGGCTTGGGGCAGATGCCGAGTCAATGAAGAAGCATGGCGCAGTCGGTCCAGACGTTGGCGGAGAGCTTATTCGAGCCGTCGTCGAGGGCGAGCGGGATAGTGATGCTGGCAAGATCGTGGCGCCGGAGGGCGTTCAGACGTGGTGAGCCTAGAGGAACGCAACGTGACGTTACTACCGCGACCAGATTGGCGGATGGGAGATGTGGCGGCTAATGAACGGTTCACTCGGAGGTGATGTGTCGAAAACGACGCGTCTTTCCGGATGTTCGGTTTCAGAGGCGCCATTTTGGCCTCTCGTTCGGTCAGTTGACCATGGTCGCAGCCTTGTGCCCAGTTGTCGCACTGGTAGGCAAGAGATGGCGGCAAGTCATTCGTTCTGATTCATTCCAGGCGCATTTTAGGCAGTAAAGTGCATGGCCTCGTCAATTCCTCGAGATACCAATAGAGTAGCAATAATTTTGAGTTCTCTTCCTAGGTCAGTCAGTCATTGGTGAGGTTGTCGATGCAAGTGAAAGCCTAGCAGTCAGTCAGTCAGTCAACCAAGGGCGTTGGCCCTGAAACATTAGCGCGCATTCCACTAAAATTTGCTGTGAGGAAGGCGCTCAGCCATTGACATCAGCCCCCACAGCTTTCGAGGCACAGCGCTGAGGCACAGCGATCAAGGCACAACGGCTCAGAAGTTTACGTCAACATTGTATCTCGTCTTGCTCTTCCCCTAAGCGCCATGGCGTGTGTGTCACCACGCTTGACCGAATTAACTCTTGCGGCAACCGCGGTTCAACTCCATCTCTGATACATCGTCTCCAACAACAACAACAACAATAACAACATCATCATCAACAACGTCGCCGCCACAAGGCTGCTAGTTTTACTGAAAATGCTTTCATCATGCATGCCTCGACGAGGGGAAAGGAACCCTTGACGGACAGCCCCTCCCTGGTTTCCCCAGTTCCCCCAGGCTCCAGTCGTTGGCATAGCCCGTGCCTCCACTCTGGACGCGACAGAGCCCAGTGGTCGGATCTGCAGGATCCCGTCACCGCCTCTAATCTCCAATGATGAGCCGCCGTACCACAAAGCGTAGGGCTGGCTCTCCCGAGGACTGCCCAACCGCCAAGTTGCTCCTTGAGGCGCAAGCACTTGTTCAGTTTACTTCTTCGTTACGAACCCTTGACCACCCGCTTCAGCTCGCCGCCCTCTCGTGTTCCTTTCGCCACGGAGCCTCACTCGAGGCACTGACAGAACAGAGCCGCAAAGAACTGACCTTAAAGCAGTCGACTAGCTGCCGACGATCCTTCATGCCCCTCTTTCTGCCCCTCATCCAACCGCCATGACCGAAAAGTCCGACATGAAAGATTTGCGGCGGACTGACAGTGGCATGCAGCGTCAGTTCGCCGCCATTATTCACGATGCCCAGAAAAAGTATGCCGAGTCGTCCGATCAGGACCTCTCTGATTACATGAACCCGCCGATGACCTCCGTCGAGGACATGCTCGCCGTCATCGCCCGCCAGAACAAGCAGTTCGAGTCTTTCCGCGCCAAGAGGCAACGCATCTTCTCCGCCCTGTCTGCAGCCCTGATGCCCATCGAGGTCGTCGGTGAGAGTCTGGCTGGCGCTGCCTCCGAGGTGTTTGCGCCTAGTCAGAACATTTTTGCCGCTGTCATGTACCTCGTCAACGCTGCCAAGGACGTGTCGGCCTGCTACGACTCCATTATTGAGCTGTTCGAGAAAATGCAAGATTTCACATCCCGTCTGAGGTTCTACGTTTCTCAGCACTTGTCTCCCGAGCTACGTGACAAGCTCGTCACCATTCTCGTCACAGTCTTTGAGATCTTCGTCTTGGCCGCCGCCGAAGTGCGACGCGGTCGCCTCAAGGCCTACTTCAAGCGTCTTTTTGGACACGAGAGCCCAGTACCCGAGGCACTCAAGCGCTTGGCTGTCTTGACCGAGGCGGAGGGCCGCCTCGTCGGTGCCGAGACAATGGCTGGTGTGAAGCAGTCACTCTCGAATCAAGAGCGTCTCCTCGAGATGATGACCAGGGTTGATGTTAACGTGCAGACGCTGCGTACCGAGACCAGAGAGCAGGCTCTCAACTCCAACCGCGACAAGCTCCGAGACATCCTGCAGCCAAGTGTCTTCCCGCAAGACACGTATGAAGCGCTCGATCGCACGCGCACTCCGGGTACCTGCGAATGGATTCTGCAGGATCCCGCTTTTGATGCGTGGCTGTCTGGGCAGTGTCGCTTTCTCTTCTGCTGCGGCAACCCAGGCACCGGCAAGAGCCACCTCACAGCACGCTTGGTCCGCTGGGGGTTCCGCATGATGGAGGAACAAGAGACGAGTCACATGCTGGGCTACTTCTTCTTTCGGCAGACTGACCCAGAGACACGGTCCGTGATTCAAGCTCTCAGAGACATCGCGTATCAGGTCAGCGAGGTCGACGTTTTCTACGGAAAGCAGCTCCTGCGTATCCTGTCTAGCAGTGACGACATCAAAACCGTCTCCAGTGCATTCCGACGCTTGCTTGTTGAGCCTTGCATTCCCGACCGATGGCAGCGCAACATCTACATCCTTCTTGACGGTGTAGACGAAGCGGATCAAGTCCAGTTGCGTGAGTTCATATCGCTTTTGGATGGGCTCAACAAACAGTCTCCAGGTGGCACCAGGGTCCAAGTTGCCCTCTTTGGACGCAACGCCATGTCCGAGACGGTTCTGCCACCTCTCCAGAATGACTCGACCAATGGCCAGCAGCTTCGAATTCTGCATGTCACCGCCGACCGTAACGGGCAGGATGTCATTTCATACATCACAGCAGGTGTCAATGAAGCACGCATTCTACGCGGAACCCCTGTTTCGTTCAGAGAAGAGATTGTATCCGTCATGACGAAACAGGTTGATGGAAGCGGTCAGTTCATATTGGCTAAATTCATGCTGGCCGAACTTGGGCGTGAGCGCCACGCGCGGGGTATTCTCGAGAAACTGCAATCCTACCCCCAGGAAATCAACGGCATGCTTCGACAATCTGTTTTGAGGTTCTCGGAAACAATCACTCAGGCTGAAGCAGATGATCTCAACGAAGTCTTGCGCTGGGTGGCATGTGCGGAGATGACGTTAACCCTGGAGCAGGTTGAGGTCATCCTCGCTCTCAAGTTCGGTGACCCTCCCCTACGCCTAGAGGAGTCTCTCCGGACACAGCTCGCGGCCTTCTTTACTCTGGAGCGGGAGGACGGAATGTCGACAGCCGAACTTGTCGAACAACACCAGCAAGAGATGCAAGCAATAGGAACTTCGGACACGCCACTACGACGCAGCCCGAACTCCCAAGGCCCGGATGCCATTGCGTTTCGGTCGAACAAGCACACCACATCCGTGTCGTTCTTCCACGCATCCATTAGCGACTTCTTTCGCGATGACTGTTCGACAGATCTGCGCCTGTCAAGCGACCACCCCTCGATTGGCTTTGAATTCGCTGCGGCAAAGCTTCATGTTCTTCTGACCTGCCTGCGCATATTCACAGAACCAAACTATCCAGCGTTCGGCGCCCAGGGCTTGTCATTGCAGAAGTACGCGGCCTGGTACTGGCAAGAGCACCTCGAGCACCTCGACAGAGACAGCTTGTCTCGTGAAGACAAAGCTCAGATTGGCAAACTTCTTCATACAATGTTGACGGAGCGACCTGTCATCCTGGCCTGGACAAATTTGTTCGAGGAAGCCCTCGACATCTGGACCGACGAGAACATTGAGGTTGTCAGGACCTGGCTGTCAGATCCAGACGTCGTCAGTGGACTCGCACCTGACGAGGTGGCCTGGGCTGCGGAAGCCGTCAAGACACGTTCTGGACCTCTGATCCCAATGGGCAGCGTCTTTGCTGATGCCTGGCTCCAAGAAGACTTTGGCATGTACATGCCCACGCTGTTTTGCTTTGGTGTAGTGCAATGCCTGGCGCTGATGAGTCGCGGGCACAAGTGGTCTGACTCAGATACACATTGGGAGGACATGTCGGTCGAGTCTCGCGTTCAGATAGCGGCCAAGTGGGCAAGTCTGCCAAAGGGGGCCCACTGGTACCGAAGAATCGGCAGTACTCTGCTTAACCTGGGCAATTACGGCAAGGCGCTGCTCAATTTCAGTCGCGCGATGGAGCTTGATCGCAATATTCAGGAGACGGCTGGCCGAATGGGCATCTGTTATTACCGGGCCGGCGACTACCACAAGGCTCTTCGCTTTCATCTCATGGCCATTACAGTCGACGAGAGGACGATCAAGGACAAGAACGCAACGCCGGAAATGGTGGCTGGCGCGCGATGGCGGCTCTACAAGGCCTTGAAGGAGGCATCAAACTGCTATCGACAAATGGGTCGCGTCGAGAGCGCGCTCACCTATGGTCGCGAGGCCATCAAGCAAGCGTACGACGCAAGACCTTTCGAGCCCGAGGCTGCATTGATGCGAGTTCTCGCCGAGAATAACCGCATCCCGGAAATCATGAAGCTTCTCAAGGAACTCGACGAGCGCTACACGGAAGAAGGGCACTCCCGGCTGGTATGGTTTATGCTCGACCAGATCGGCTATGATTCGACGCGGGACTGGATCCCTGAAGCTGCGGCCCGGACAAACAACACGGCGACAATCGCACGGAGATATCAAGCGGCCATTGCCTTGGCTCAGGACGCCCAAAACTCGCGGTCCGAATTCTACCTTCGCAATGCTCTTGGCCAGGTATACCGCGCCGCTGGTGACTATGACAGGGCCATTGCCATTCAGGAGGAGATTTGCCAGGAGTGGAAGCCACGAGGCAGCATTGCAGTGCGCGTGGAGTACGCCAACTCGTTCAAGAACCTCGCCTGTCTGTACTATCTCAAGGCGCTACAGAGCGATGCTACGCTGCGCACCGTGGCAGTGGACCCCTGGATCGTCAAGCTCGAGGAGCTGCAGGCCCAGCAAAGCAAGCACCAGAACCGCAACGTTCCGCTCCACATGGCAGGCTTTGACGTCAACGAGGCTTCCATCTTTCTCGTGCTCTTCTACCGTTTCCGCGACCGGCCCGACGAGGCGCGCGAGCTCGCGGCATCGCTTGTGGCGGATCATCTCGACATTCTCGAAGATGACGAGCCACAAAATGACGAGATCGGCATTCGCAACCTGCAGCGAACCCTCATCGCAGCGGGCGATCTGGGCAACGCACGAGCGCTGTGGCAGTCGACGCGTACGCCTGTCAATCCCGCTACTGTGTCAAGCAACCTCATGACCGAGCGACGCGTCCGCTCGCCGCGACTAGGCGTCTCACCAAAGCGAGGGCGGGCCAGCGAGCTCAGCCTGGGCAAGGTCTTCTCCCCTACGGGCAACTTTACGCCAGGCCTCTCCTGCGACTACTGCCTGCGAAGGTTCGACAGCAAGGAGGAGTACGTTGTGTGCGTGTACTGCATCGACACGCTCTTCTGCCTGCCATGTTTGGAGAACGTCATCAAACAACGAAGCTTCTCGCCGGGGCACACCTCGGCATGCGGCCCGAACCACAGTTTCATGAACGTGCCGCCGCTGCTGAAGGAGTTGTTACCAGGCGAGATCATGGTAGACGGACAGCTGCAGAGGTTTTCGGACTGGAAGAAGGCGCTGCGTCAGACGTTCCGATCGGCGCGGGCGAGGCGGAGCGAGGGAAGTCCCCGGGGACTGGGAATTCTATGATACCAGACTTCCTAGATCTAGGCATGGCAGCGGGGTTGGAGACGTAGATGTTCAGAGCGTGAATGTATGATACCTACCTACCTACCTAGGTACCTTGCCTTACCAGGTACATTGGTCTGTCTGATCCTCGATCCTCCTGCTTCTGTGTGAATGGCTCCGGTCTGGCCTGTCAACCTGGGAAGTACCTGCCCTGGACAGCCAGCTCCTTCTCCAACTCACTTGCCCTCCTCGACAGGCGCAACAGCAGGAAGGGCAAGCACGCCCTCAGCCTCCTTCCCTCAACAGAAGCCCCCCCTTTGCCAGCACTTCCCAGCTCTCTGCCCTTCTTCAGAACCGACAAGGCCCATGGCTTCCCAACAAAGGGCGGGTGGTCTAGTGGTATGACGCCCAGACACTGGAGACCCTAAAGCAGTCTTGTTCGGGGAGCCAAAAAAAAAAAAACAAATGACACATAAAAAAAAAGAAAAAGCAGTCGCAGTCCAGGGTCAGTGTCTTCGGGAGACCCAGGTTCGAATCCTGGCCCGCCCAAATCTTTTTTCCCCCTCGACGCCTTGTTTCTCCATGAAGTTGAGGTGTGTGAGTACGAATGAGTGCATGAAATGGCTCGATTGCACCAACAGTTGTCTTGAAAGTATGATCAGGAGAGTATACAAATCACAGCTCATCGTGTTCCTTGTCCTTGTCCTCCAGCACCACGCCCTCGTCTTCAGGTATCTCGGGCACCTCGGGCACCTCAGGCACGACCTCCTCAGCAGCGGCCACTTGCGCTGGCGGATTCAGCTGCAACACATCAGCAATGAACCGCCCCACGACGCCGGCATTGATCTCGGCCTTGTTGAACAGCGACATGGTCTTGGTAGCGGGGTTCTGCAGCGCCAGGGACGGAAAGTCCCACGGCAGCCCGACGCGGTTGACGACCTCGGGAAACACAAAGGGGTCGACGGCGACAAGCGTGACGCGGCCCGCATGCTCCTTGGCCACGGGCAGCATGTCGTCGGCGAAGCGGTCGCGGGCCTCCGGGTCGGCGTCAAAGTAGTACAGCACAGGGTCGGTGCCCTCGGTGAACCCCCAGGCGTTGAGCCGCGTGAGCTGCTTGACGAGCCTCTCGCCGCAGCCGACGACGAAGCGCCGCAGCGAGCCGACGTCCTGGAAGAAGTGGTCGAGCTCGGCCTCGCGGCCGTCGCGGTGGTTGAAGCAGCGCAGCACGCTGGGCGCGTCCTCGCCGAGCTCGTCGGCCGAGCCGTCGGTGGCGCGGCTGGCGATGGCAAAGGTGTAGCGGTCATGGAACTCTTCGGCGAGGTCGTGGAAGCGCTTGTAGAGGCCGCGTCCGGCTTCCTGGCTGCGCAGGTGGAGGATGAAGACGACGTCGTCCGAGTCTTTAAAGGACGTCAGGTTGGCGGCCTCGAGGCCGTCGACGACGGGGCGCATGATGCGTTGCATGTAGGGCAGGATACTGCAGCACAGGAGATTCAAAGGTTAGGCCGGGCTTGGGCTTTGAGATTGGTCACTCAAATTTTGGGGTGAGGACGCACGAGGAGGCTTTGCGAGGCCCGCGGTAACGGGCGTAGAGGCTGCCGCTGCGGTAGAAGCGCAGAGCTGGGTACGCCCTCACGTCGTGCTCGAGGCAGAGGTCGGGCTCGGCGGAGCAGTCGACCGAGAGGACGTTGGGTTCTTTCTCCTTGATGGCGGGCCATTCCCACTCGAGGGCCTCGCTATCAAAGCTGCGTGTGTCAGTCACAGCTTCGCATGGTACGACTGAGGTCACTCACTTGGTAGGCTGCCAATCGCGCTTTTGTCAGTAACCTTTGCCAACAAAATCAGACCAGAGGATCAACGTACAGTTGTGACTGTATCTACGTCAGCGTGGGCACTTAACGCGAAGATGGGTACACTCACAAGCGACAAGGCTATATGGGTTCTCCTTGATGGCCTTTCTGAATTGAGCTTCGTTGACATGCTCGAAAGCGCTCCATTTTGTCGTCTCCTGGCTCGGCGCTGCGTCACTAGAGGCTGCGACAGAGGCGATGGCGAGACTGAGCCAGCCGAGCTTCAGGATGCGTGCCATGGCCACGATCCAATGGGTCCGATGTCTTCGTTTCAATAGATGGCGACCGTTGTCGTGGTACACTCCTTTGTCGTTCTCGGCCGAGGATGATCGTGTTGTGACAGAGGAAGCAAACAGGAGAAAGCCCGTCACCCTCACATGTGTCCTTTTCCTTTTCAAGAGACAAACGCCGCGCGCGAGAGAGCTCCCAAGTATTGTAACCGTAATATGGCAACACCCCACAAGAGCTTTCCCCTCCGCCTCGGCACCCCCAACTCCGACTACAGTACCAAAGCGGCTTCTCGGGGGTGCAGATCCGCGGGTAGGTGCGCCGCAAGGGCTGTCTCGAATGTCTTCAGCCTTTTTGGGGGTCTTGGCAGGCCGCCTCAACCAGATCGAACCGCAGCGTCAGTGAGAACCTGTCAAGGAGGTAGGGGGATGTCTGAAGACGAGAGGAAAATTGTCCGGGTTGGGGACAACGCGTCACTTTACCCCCGACCCCTGCTGGACCCCATTCATGCGACCCCTGACCCGTTTCCCCGCAGAGGTGGTTCAGGGGCCGATGTGACTTGGGCTTGGTCTCCGATTAGCCCAGGGATTCTCCATTTCGCTGGGCCAGACCATGGTGCGGAGGAGACTTCCGAATGGCCTTTTCCGGATGAGCGCGGATGATTGCTTGTTTGGGTGGGCAACAGAAATTGGAGAAGCTAAGCGGACAAGGCGGCCAAGTGGCCTGGTGCCATTTTCTTTTGAGGTCGACATCCCGTTGCGAGGCGAGCTCGACATTCTCACCCATTGCTGTCGACAAATCGAAAGGGAAAGCGATTCTAAAGTTAACCACATTCAATCCGAAATCAAGGCTCGACTGTCATCAAAGCTTGAACCCGTGGGCAGATTCTTCAGCATGCGTTCCTCAGTTGTCGGAGCGCTCTTCGCTCTTGCTGGCACAGCTCTCAGCCATGGCGATGAGACTCCTGAACAGGCCGAGGCTGTGACGGTTGTCGTCGCCGACGATGCTGCGCAGGCCAACATTGCCGACGCGGTCAGCGAAGAAGCCGTCGAGGCCCAAGAGGAGGATCCTCTCGCGAACTACGTATGCGACACCTCAAACTACGAAATCTCAATCTTTTCGCAGAGCCCGCTCGTCATTTACATCACCAACTTTGTCACGCCTTTTGAGCGACAGCACCTCCAGAGAATCACGTAAGTTTTGCTGCTGTATGTTCGCCGGGGAACAGCCCTCTCACATCTTCCAGCAACGGCACATTCGCTCGCTCCAACGTCGCCGGTGCCGAGGGCGACGTCGTCTCCACCCACCGAACCTCGTCCTCGACAACCGTCGGCGTCGACCCCGTCACGAGCTGCATCTCCGAGCGCGCCCGACGCTTCCAGAGCTTCGACCTGCCGCCGAACCACCAGGAGCCCATCCAGCTCGTTCGCTACGCTGTCGGCGAGCAGTACCACTTCCACCACGACTGGTTCCCCGCGGAGAACACGAAGGAGAACGGCCATGCGTCGGTTGAGCGCGGCGGCAACCGCGTCAGCAGCTTCTTTGCGTATGTTTCCGTCAGCGAGGACATTGCCGGCGGAGGCACCAAGTTCCCGAAGCTGGCGGCGCCCGAGGGTGACGGCTGGTGTGGCGTTGTCGAGTGCGACCAGGCGAGGGAGGAGGGCGTGACATTCAGGCCGATTGAGGGGTGAGTTCAATCTTGGCATGCTTGGCTGATGGACGAGAACTGACAGTCAACAGCAACGCCGTCTTCTGGACCAACCTGGTCAAGGGTGCGGATGGCGAAATGGTTGGGGACGACCGGGTTTTGCACGCCGGTCTGCCGATTGAGAAGGGCTCGAAGCTCGGTATGAACCTCTGGACAAAGATTGACAATTTTGCGTGAATGGGAAGTCTGGGTTTCCGTGCCGTGAGGGGTTGTTCATATGTACGAATGTCGCATAATGACAGCACTGTGTTTAGCTTCATGTGCGCAAGGATCATGACACTGTGTTGTCTTTTAGGTAATATACTCCCAAACACTCACTGAATGATGCCCTCGCCACATATAAGTAGACCTACTGTTCTGCAGCAGACATGTGTGCATGTGTTATTCTTGTGTCCATTGGCTTATTATTTAACCTTGAGCACGCGTATCGCACCTGTATCAGTTGTCCCAACCCGGATCACCAGGCGGACCGCAAAGCTCACCTAAGATAATTAGCAAGTTTCACGTCAAGAATGCTTCAAACCGTATCTTTCGTTTGTGAAAGTTCTTGCAAAAGTGGTTTCAAGTTGGCGTGCAGTTATCTGCCGATGAGGCTAATAGCAACCTAAGGCGCACAAGGCGAGGCGCCTACCTCAACTTGTCAATCACCAACATAGTCGAAGCCAGTATAGAGGGGGGATCCACGCACGCATTGACACCATGTTCTTCTTATAAGCCTGAGAGTACAGGCCTATTTGGCTGGTCGGCAGGTCACTCTCAGGTGGACTTGATATCCTAGTTTTGTGGCTTGTCGTAAAGACGTACCGGCTCAAGGTACTGCATTTCCTGAATTGGAGAGAGCATCGCAACAGCCCAGAACAGCATCTCACACAACAGGGGGCCCAAAACACACAATCCATGCTTTGGGCAAAACTTGCAAATATTCTCAGTGCACCAGTCACTTGGGACAACCCTGTAGACTAGGTGCAAAAAAGAAAAAAAAGTGTTGACCGGGTAGGTAGACCGGGAGACGAACCCCAGCCCCCCTTCAAAGCGTCCCAAGATCAGTACGACTGGCGGCTTACCTGGCAGGAGGCAAATCCGGGCACCTAACCATCAGGCCAACGGGACAATAAATGTTGGAAAAGGAAATTGCAAGAATTCATTATATTGTCAGGAGATGCTGGTATCGAAGGAAAGAGCGCGGTGAATGGTTGCTTTGGGCTGCGCGAGATCATCCCAAGCAACCAGATTTGTTTACAGCTGCGTCGAGAACAACAGCTGCAGCCATGGCAGGAGCTGCATGTTCCTCGGCACGGTCCGCTCGACCACTCGCTTTAGAGTGAATTCACAACAAGAACCAACTTCAGAAAAACGCATTGGACTATGGCAGGTTTGGATATCTGATCAAGTCAAGGGGCACATCAATCCAGGAACACATAAAACTTTGCCTATGCTTTCACTTCTTCAAGGGAGCTCTCGATAGAAACCACGAACAGGATCAACAGACGCCTTCTGGCGTCATTGAGCAATATCAAACCCGAAGACGAACATCCAGCAGCTGTCTGGGTGCTAAGTACCTCGCTTACCCCTGAAGAAGCCGCTCAAAGCACCCATAAGCTGCGGCAACCCACTCTCTTGCCCATCTCCTTGGATCCCCCCTTGGATCCAGCCAGGAAGCTTGCCCTTGATCCTCTCCGTGCCGTAACGGCGGTCACACAATATAATGGCAGCATAATCTCCGCGGTGACGGATAGCCCGGCCAATGCTCTGATTGACGGCCCTCATGCATGCGTTCTCGTAAAAGTCCCTCGCAGCCTGCTTCGCCGCCGCCTGTGCCTTTGCTCGGTCCACCCCTGGCTCCGCTTCTAGTGCCCGCTTCAACACTGTCATCTCGACATATTCCGTCTTTGCCTTCCATTCCGGCGAGTGCATGTTCGGGTACGGCAGGCCAACAACCATGACAGCGCGGCCGAGACGGTCGGAGAAGTTGATGCCTTCACTCATCTTGCCGCCGACGACACTCAAAAGCAGGGCCCCGCGTGGCTTCGGTGCATCACTGGTGCCGTCGCCTAAGATGGCCTCGCTGTACAATGCAAGCACTTCCTCGCTGGAGGCCCCCTTGGATTCCTTGAAAACGGCCTTACGCTGCTGCATACGGGTCCAGATGGGCGTTGATTCGCCGGCGGCAGTCGTCTCCCATGCAGCAACGACCTCGTCCAGGTATCCATAGCTGGGAAAGAATACGACAATGCCGTCTGGCACGACAGCACACATGTTGAGAATGGCGAGGCCCAGCTGGTTGACCATCGCCTTATCACTGCGGCGTTGAAAGCTGAACTCAAACGTCGAGTTTGGGTCGCCGGCTCGCGAAGCAGCCAGCGTTCGGACGCAGAGGTTTGATGGCGGAATGACGTGGCCGCACCTGAGGGTCGTGAGCTTTGGCTCGGGCAGGTACGGGAAAAGATGGGCGCGATAGTCGTCGAACGGTGACATGGTGCCGCCAGCGAGGATGACAGCGCGCGCACTGGTGGCGATCGAGGAGAAGGCGTGCGTCGGTGATAAGAGAAGGTAGGAGAGCTGGATATCCGGGGCTGCACCTGGCAGCTTTTGGTAAAAGATGCGGCCTTCGGAGCTGAGATTTGTGAGGGAAACGAGGAATGACACAAATGTATGAAGAACAGGCGTGGACGATCGAGGGGCGGCTTTGTTCGAGTCATCCTCTTCGACATACGCCACGTAGCTCTCGATCTTGTAGGCGAGCTTGGAGGTTTGGATGTACTGAATGAGTTTGAAGAGGTTGATTTGGTCGATGCCTTTTGAGCGCAGGAGTTCTTTGGCGTCAACAATGCCTTGTTCGGGCTGTAGCTATTAGCAAGCGTGTGGTCAGCATGGCATGGTGAACATACCTTGAGTTGAAGGGCGCCACTCATCCAACCACTCAATCCATCCACTACACGACCTACCTGGCCGACCATAACGCGATTTTCGCCCTTGAGCTTCTTCCCAAACCTCTTGACGTAGACGCCAAGCATCAGCCGTGCCCTCTTCAGCTCGCCTAGTCGAATTTCAGATGCATACACATTGGCGACGGCATCCATGATGTTATGAGCTTCATCGACAATGACAATATTGCCTTCAAGCTTAATGCCTAAAGCTTCACGTGCGGTCTTTTGCAGAAGTAAAGGGTACGGCAGTGTGATGATCTCTGTGCCAGCGATCGCTGTGCGTGAGGCGTAGTAAGGGCACACTTCTAGAGACTTGCCAAGATGAAACAGGTCTTCAATGTCGGGTAGGGTTGCGTGGGCTGTGTCCCGGAACTGATGTGTCTTATTCAAGTTTTCCTCTTTCGGCACATACGGGCACTTGTTTTTTGATTTTGGTTGCTGCAGCTCAGCACATCGGTCGTTGATGGCCGACTGCGTCTTGAGGCGCGAGACAGCTGGATTGATGCATAGTTTTTGCCGCGATGACAATGGGAGATGCTTGACTGGTTCTTGGATAGCTTGAACAGCCGCTCCATGTTCACCCGACACGAGTGACGATGGCATAGACGACGGGAAGGACGGTCGACGGAGTTCGGCAACGAATTGCGAGAGCTGCGAATGCGTTCTTGATGTGTAAAATATCTAATAACGTTACCAGCAGCCCTCATGTCATTCCAATTGAGACAGTGCAAGCACACCTTTACGCCATCCTCGAGGATCTCCTCGTCTTCTTTGTCACGCTTCAGCCCTCCAAGGCCGTATCGAGATAGAATTTCCAGTGTCTCTTTGCCGAGGCCCGACAGAGCGTCGCTCTGCGAGGTAGGTTCGTCTGCATCATCCAGCAACCATTCTGCTTCTTCATCTTCAGGATTCTTGAGCACTTTCTTCTGGTTGCCGTCATCAATGCGGCGCCGCTTGGCGCTGCGTGCCGCGCGAGCTTTCTCCTTGAGACGGATTTGCTCCAGGCGCTGTTCACGCTGCTTCCATTTCTTGGAGATATCATCTCTTTTTCGTTGGAGGGTTTGTTCAATGATCCAATCAGGCTCATCCTCGAGGTCAACACCTGCAGAGCCGAGAGACAGCTCGTTCTCGTGCGATTTGTGATTTCGTAGCCAGGTGAGCGCAGCACATATGAGGGAGAGAGATTTGCCCTGCGATGATGAGCGCCTTGTATACTGTTCACCGAGACTGACCTACCGTGCCAGTGGGGCTCTCAAGGATTCCAATCTGCCCGTTTCCGGTCTGAAGCACCTTGTAGGCTTCTGTCATAAACTGTGTTTGTACGTCGTACGGAGTGTATGGGTGGTGGAAGTCGATGACCTCGTCGGGGGGTCCCATGGTGCCATCCGGGGAGTGACTGCATGGATCGAATAACGAGTCACCTCTTTGTACCTTAGCTTGGTCCGACTTGGAGTTGAGACTTGGTGTATCGCCTCCACAGCACTGCCACTCGCTGTGCCAAAGTCAGGCCTGGCAGACCTCGCCTCCCTGGAGTCGACGGTGAAGCTTCGGTGGAGCAGCCGCCAGACCAATGTCCTGCCGAAGAAGGGGGGCCTGCTGAGTCATACATCAACGCCCAGCATTGTCCTGAAAATAAAATCAGGTGACCCAAGCTTGCGATTACTTAGGGCTGCCTGCCCTTTCTACCAAATCGCCCAAGACAGTTAGCGCCCCACCCAGCCGATTGCCCACGCCCGCCTCTGCCCTCAGGTTCTGAAATCTTCGCAGCGACCACGAAAAACATCGACGAGACTTCACTAACCACAGCAGTGCGACTCACCACACACCGTCGCCATGCCTACCCGCCTCTCGAAGACCCGCAAGCAGTACGTTTTTGTCCCTCGAATTCCCTGAAACTCGAGACGTCGGAATTGGAACCGGTCTGGTCGACGAAGAAAAGCGCAGCGCAACAATGCCATCGCACAATCAACAAGGCTTGGGGAGCGCCGACTACGATCGCCAGACCTGGGACTGAGATGACACTTCCGAGGAAGGAAGAGACACACAACACCATGAACAATCACTAACTCATGTCACAGCCGCGGCCACGTGTCCGCCGGTCACGGACGTGTCGGCAAGCACCGCAAGCATCCCGGTGGTCGTGGTATGGCCGGTGGTCAGCACCACCACCGTACCAACCTTGACAAGTACCACCCTGGTTACTTCGGTAAGGTCGGTATGCGCTACTTCCACAAGCAGCAGAAGTACGTGAACCCCGATCTCGACTCGAACGGTGTGCTTTGGAGGAAGGGCGGTGGACAAATCGGTCAAGGCAGGCAGACATCAGAGAAGGACGGGCTTTTGGCCATCACTCTGCGCAAGAGCTGGGAAACGGACGCGGAAGATTTGTCCTGAGCCACCAACGGCCCCCGACCCCGAAGCACATCGATCGAGCGAGACGAAACCCCTCCCACGACGACCCCGCTAACCCCCCTCACAGCCACTTCTGGAAGCCCGTCGTCAACCTCGACAAGCTGTGGTCGCTCGTTCCCGTCGAGCAGCGTGACGCCTACATCAAGGGCGAGAAGAAGGACGTCATCCCCGTCATTGACCTTCTGCCCTTCGGCTACTCCAAGCTGCTCGGCAAGGGCCGCATCCCCGAGATCCCCCTCGTCGTCAAGGCCAGGTGGGTCAGCAAGCTGGTCAGTACCAACCCTGTCGCTCCGTATTACAGGCCTCTCCGCAGTACACTAACACGACGCAGGCTGAGAAGAAGATCACCGAGGCCGGCGGTGTCGTCGAGCTCGTCGCATAAATTTCGATTAGCCAGGGAAAACGGATGTGGGAGGTAAAACAAGCTTGCGCGGAGAGAAGGGGACCACGGACGAACAATATCACGGGGTAGTGGGAGCGCGAGACGCAACGGCACGCCGGCGTCTTCGCAAGCCAGCTCCCAATCGGGTCGGCGGACTACTGAAGTAACCAGCAACAACCGCCCCCTTTTCCTGTCATTGTCACTTTTCAGAAGCCGGTTGTGGAAATGGAAATTTTCAAGGACAAAAACCGGGCCCTGGGATGGCTTCTCGCGCATTGCATGAATGGGGACATGAATTTTTCCACGGAGTTAAACCGAATGAAAAAGGGTTGATCTTCTGCAACGGCCCCCGCCCTCTTCCAGTTCAATCGGCTTTCCGAGCGTCACGCTGTTCATGTCACGCTCTGGTATTGGCTTGGACACGGGGCATGATCATGATTAATGCATTGATGGCCGCTTCTGTGCCTGCCGTCGGTATGACGACTTACGCTGTCTAATAATGCCCTTGACGCCGTGCCTCTGTTGTACAAACTCGAAATCGTCTCAAATGCATTCCTCCATCAAGATTCCACCAAAGCCATTTCATCATAAGCATCTTCGCGAACCAAAGGAAGCCCCTCAGCCAAGAATGGGTGGTCCAGAGCATCATTGGCACTGGTTCTCTTTGCCGGATCCAAGTCCATGCACCTCTCCAGGAAATTGACAGCCATCTTCTCTTCTTCGTTGAGTGGTTGGCCTCTGGGGTCGCCCTCGCGATCGTTGGGCGACCGACACGTAGACCACAGCACGAGCTTTTCGAGCGAGAAGCCACTGAGGCCAATGGTGGGAATGTTCGTCTCGAACATGCAGCCGTGCAGGGCGCCCGCGGCGCGCATCTTCTTGGTGCCGAACATGGTGCCAATCTCAATCATGGCCTCCACGTCGTCGGCGCTGTTAAAGAAGGGAAAGCGTTTGCTCAGGATCGTGAGTAGGATGACACCGGCGCTCCAGATATCAATCTTGGTCGTCTGCTCTGTGCACTTGAACAGGACCTCAGGGGCTCGGAAACCACGAGTACCTGCTCGATTGGCGCGGCGCGAGGGTCTTGTGTCGTTCTTGGGGTAGCCCGTCTGGGGGCCGTTGAGGTGCGCGACACTGTTGGCCAGACGATTGCGCCGGACAGCGGACTGTTCGTGGCAGAGGCAGGGTTTCGCATCGACACCCTCGCGCTCGGCAAGGCCAAAGTCGACAAGGACACCACGGCGAGAGGAAGGGTCGTAGAGAAAATTGGTTGGCTTGATGTCGCGATGCAGAATCCGTTTCTCGTGCACAAAGGTAAGGGCCATGAAAAGTGAGCGCATGTAGACGACTATATCGGAGATTGTCATCTGGCGGAAGTAGTCGCGAAAATCCTCGTGGCGGAAGTAGGGCAGAACGGCCAGGACCTGGTCGGTAGAGCGAAACGCGGTGATCAGGGGGCACACTGAGGGAGAGTTGCGCAGGTCATACAACAGCTCGAGTTCGTTGAAGATGCGTGCTGGTGACGAGGTGACGTAGATCTTCTTGACAGCAACGAAGCGCCCTGCTCGCGCCTTCATCCTGCCGTAGCGATCCCTGTCGTCGTGGTGTCCGTCCACGTCCCAATCATTGTCATATTCTTCGTAAAGCAAGTCCTCGGCTTTGTAGACGGTCGAAAATGTGCCTACGGAAGGTGTCAACCAGGTCCACAAGATTGGGTCAGGGGGGAGGGGGGGCAAGGGAAGCAGCTTACCCTCTCCAATGCGCTTAATCAGGCGGTACTGGTTTCGAAAGCCTGGAAATACTTCTTGCAGCCTGTCCATCTCTTGTTGCACGCCTGAGTCGACCTCTGGTTCTTCTGAGGTCAGAGAAGAGCCGTCGCTTGGGTATTCGGAGTCGGCGTATTTGTCATCTGGCACTTCTTCGGGAACCTCTTCTGGTACCGCTTCCTCTGTGCGAAGTTCGGACTCGACCATCATTTCTGTGTCTTCCGTGCGTGGCACATCCTCGTGTATCTCAAAGGCATCGCCAGCGCGTCGCCGGACGGCCGTCATGTCGGAGACGAGGAGACTGTTCAACTGGAGGGACGGAGGGCAGCGGGAGAGGTAGAGACTACAGCACGCAGACGTGTGCCTTAAAACGAAGTGGTAGTTGTGCAATTGACTTTGAGGATATGTATCAGAGGGGGTATCAATGAGTTTGGAATGTTTCGGTGCGTGCAGTTGGTCAGCCTTCAGACAAGCACATGGCGAAAGTCGATTCCACAGCCGGTGTGGAGTGGAGGGGTCCTTCACTGCTGGTGGGGCGCTTTCCAATGGTGTCTATTAGTGAGCGCGCGCGAAGCAGCCAATGCGGGGGGCGCGTCGAAGAAAACAAAAACAGCCGTTGCCAGGCGCATCCACTGCCGCATCACCGCCTGCCGCTGATGTGCAACCACAACAATCCTCGGAACCTCATCTGGTAAGAAAGGCCGGCCTCCTCCATCCCACAACTAACCAAGCCATCTAGAACGAGCACGCAAAGCTGGCCTAGTCGCCGTCCTTCGCTTCTTCATTCCTTTCTCTTCTTCATCGACCTACCACCCACCCCGCGCCTTTTCTTTGCGACACCATCTTGTTCTCTTTTCCCCCCCTCTTTCCCCCCCGCCCCAGGGGCACACTTCACCACCAACCATGGCCATGGAGTCCATTACCTTCGATATTAACGAGGCTCTGAAACACTACATGAGCGACCCGGCCTCGATCCCAACGCCAGAGGCTGACGGGGCCCTCTTTGACTGCGAAAATGAGCCGGACGCGCTGACGAATGCGGTCATCGACCCTGTCCTCAACCCCATTGTCGATGCTGTCGCCGAGAACCCCGAGGCCATCACGCGCGCCTCGTACATGGACTCGCTGCAGTTCCTCCTAAAGTGTGCACCCATCTCCCCCGGTCAATCTGTCTTTCCCTCCTCTTCTGAACCCCCTTCCTCTTCCGCTTCTTCCTCCGCCGCCGGCCGGCCCCCTTCGAATGATACAGTTTCTGAGCTATTCAATCTTTCCAGATATACCTCTTACCTCCCGACTCATGCATTGAGCAAACTCTTCGATCTCGTCATGTCCGGCCTCGCCGCCGAGGCTGACGCGATACTTCACGACCTCGAGTCTCCCGACGACCAGGAGACCCTCGCCCACCACAAGCACCTGCTCGAGGTCTACGGCTTCTTGCTGCAGTGGACCGTTGCCGCCGTCGAGACAAAGGCCGCCGAGAAGTCATCCGCTCAGCCCGTCGCGCGCGGCCGTGGCAAGCCCAAGAAGAATGCGCCCAAGGGCCAGGAGGCCGTGTGGGACTCTTCGGCACAGCTGCAGGCTGCTCTTGACACTATGTGCAAGGTGCTCAAGCTTAAGCTGTCGAAGATCTTCTTGACGACCTCAGAGCGCGACACTTTCATTGGCCTTCTGACGAGGCCAGTCTATCTCGTACTTGAGAGCGAGCAGCGCGTCAAGAGCACGTCCATTCGCATGCACGCCTTCAAGGTCCTCTGCATGGCCGTCAAGCACCACGGTCATGGATATGGTATGCGAGCTCATGGCATTCCGATCCAAACTGGAAATCTGACATTGAACAGCCGCGCAAATCAACATTGTGCAAAACCTGACCTACTTCGAGCACCTTTCAGAGCCCATGGCTGAGTTCCTGCATATCCTTGCCGAGACATACGACTACCCTCAGCTGGCCGACGAGATTTTGCGCGAACTCAGTAACAAGGAGTTCAACAGCAACGACACGAAGGGCCCCAAATCCGTATCCCAATTCATCGTCAAGCTCTCGGAGTTGGCGCCGCGACTGGTGATCAAGCAGATGACAATGCTGGCTAAGCAGCTCGATAGCGAGGTATGACAGTTTCTACTCAAACATGTGAGCTCGACTAACAAAGTGCCCAGTCCTATACCCTGCGTTGCTCCCTCATTGAGGTTTGTGGCAACATGGTCGCGCATCTCAGCCGTCAGGAGGAACGTGGCGAGAACCACAAGTCACAGCTCAATGCGTTCTTTGATGTCCTAGAGGAGCGTTTCCTCGACATCAACCCCTACTGCCGATGCCGCGCCATCCAGGTGTACGTCAAGATCTGCGACCTCGAGCAAAAGTTCCCTAAGCGAAGGCAAAAGGCCGCCGAGCTAGCCTGCCGCAGCCTTGAGGACAAGAGCAGCAACGTCAGGCGTAATGCCATCAAGTTGCTCGGCGCGCTGATCAAGACACACCCTTTCACTGTCATGCACGGCGCACAGCTGTCTCGCAAGGAGTGGCAGGCACGTCTTGACAAGGTTGACGAGGAGCTGAATGCGCTGCAGCCGCCCGAGGGGGCGCCTGGTCTCGGTGAGAACGCGAACACGACTGTCGACCCTGAGCTCCTGGACGACGCCACGCAGGTGCCAGAGTCGCCGCAGAAGAAGCCCGCTCCCACAATGACGGATGAAGAGAGGTTTGCTGCCGTACAGAAGGCACGCGAGGAGGCTGCCACATCGGAGGCTATTGAAAAGCTTGGCCTGACCAAGAGATACTATAGCGAAGCTCTCAAGTTCATTGACGTCCTTCACGAGGCCACCGGAACCATCTGCCAGCTCCTCGGCTCCAGGAACAAGAGCGAGGTTATCGAGGCTATGGATTACTTTGAGGTCGGCGACGCCTACAACATTGAGCAGAACAAGGTGGGCATCCGCAGGATGCTGCGTCTCATCTGGACCAAAGGCAACAGCGACGAAGGCAAGGGTGTGCAGACTCATCTGATTGACTGTTACAAGAGGCTCTTCTTCGAAGCTCCTGAGTCATTCAGTCCCAACGACGCCGCCAACTACATTGCGCGCAACATGATCAGTCTGACATTTGGCGCTTCGCCTGCCGAGCTCACTTCTCTCGAGCAGCTGCTGGCTACCATGATGAAGGGTGGTCTCATTCCCGACTTTGTCATTGCGAAACTGTGGCAAGTCTATGGTGTTCAGAAGCGAGAGATTTCGCGGACCCAACGCCGTGGTGCCATCATTGTGCTGGGCATGCTGGCTACAGCCAACCCAGAAATCGTCGTTGGCGAAATGGAAACCATGCTTCGTACCGGTTTGGGTGCACACGGAAGGGCAGACCTTCAGCTTGCCAAGTTTACTTGCATCGCGCTGCGCAGGATCAATCCGACAGGGCGCCAGGCCAAAGACTCACTCATCACGTTCTCTCGCCTGCCGAATGACCACGCCGTCTTGGGGAAGCTCGCAGCTATCACTGAGGTTCCGTCCGAGAGCAAAGAATGGTACGGCATGACAGAGCAAGCTATCAACGCCATTTACTCCATCTCGAAGCACCCTGACATTCTGTGTTCCGACATCATTCGGAGGAAAACAAGGCAGGTGTTCTCACCACAATCACGTCCGAGCTCGCGCGACGAGACGCAAACGATGACCCAAGGGGTCGATGCTGACGGAAATCAAACTGTATTTGCGCAGCAGCCGAAGAAGCGGGATGCTGCCATCGGCCTCTCACAACTTCTATTCATTGTTGGCCATGTTGCCATCAAGCAAATTGTGCATCTCGAACTCTGCGAACTTGATTTCAAGCGTCGGAAGCAGGATCTTGAGAAGGATAAGACTGCGAAGGCCGACCCGGCCGCCAAGAAAGACAAGACAGAAGAGCCAGATGATCTGGACCTCATCGGCGGAACAACGGAAGATGATTTTACAGAAGCCATGGCGCATATTCGCGAGCGGGAGCTCCTCTTTGGCTCGAATGCTCTGCTGGCGCAGTTTGGCCCCTTGGTTTCTGAAATTTGCGCCAACAACACGACATACGCAGACAAGGGTCTCCAGGCGGCGGCTACGCTGTGTCTGGCCAAGCTGATGTGCGTCAGCTCCGAGTATTGCGAGGCGAACCTCCCTCTCCTCATTACCATCATGGAGCGGTCCACAGACGCAACGGTCCGGTCCAACGCTGTGATCGCGCTCGGTGACATGGCTGTGTGCTTCAACCACCTGATCGACGAAAACACCGACTTCCTTTACCGTCGTCTTGCCGACAGCGACCAGTCCGTCAAGCGTACGTGTCTCATGACTCTTACCTTCCTCATCTTGGCAGGGCAGGTCAAGGTCAAGGGTCAGCTCGGCGAAATGGCAAAGTGTCTCGAAGACGAGGACAGACGCATCGCCGACCTGGCGCGCATGTTCTTCACCGAGCTCAGCACCAAGGACAATGCCGTTTACAACCACTTTGTCGATATGTTTAGCCTGCTTTCAGCCGAGAAGGGCCTCGGCGAGGAAAGTTTCCGTCGCATTGTGCGTTTCCTGCTCGGGTTCGTCGAGAAGGACAAGCACGCACGACAGCTGGCCGACAAGCTGGCGGCGCGTCTGGCGCGCTGCGAAACGGAGAGGCAGTGGAACGATGTCGCATTCGCGCTGGGCTTGCTGCCGCACAAGAACGAGGAGATCGCAAGGGTTGTGGGCGAGGGCTTCAAGCTCGTGCAGGTAGCGTGAGATGCCTGGTCTCTGTAAGATTAGTTAGCGTTGCGGATGGGTGGCTGGTCTGGCTTAGGATACCTCGTACGATGGATGTAATGATGATGATGACTTTTTTGTTTCATGGACTTTTTTCTGCCTGTCCAGCATGTCGGTGCTACATCATTCTACCTGCTTGTACGCATGCTGCTGCCTGAGGCTGTACCAGTTCCTTGATCAATCGGCACTGGCTGTGTGTCTCATCGTATTAATTGTGACTCAACATTGACGATCTGGCAGATGTGACTCGACGATGACTCCCTGAGTGCTGAGCCGTGGTGGATGTGTTGATGTGGCTGGCCATCGCGTGAGGCGACGTGCACACTCGAATGGATGGGTCAGATGACGCCAACGCGTGAGGCCAACAGCCAGGCAACCAGCCGGCGGACGGGCGAGTAGACCGCCCCTCGACTCAGTCTTCGGCATACTTGTCTGTTTCCTGTAGATATTTGACAAAAGTCAGTCGAAGGCGGATTGCTGGCCAGAAGCTTGTAAGTGGCGTCTCGTTCGCTCTCGATGTGATGCTGGATTGCACATTAAAATAAGCAGGCGAGCTCCTCTCTGAGTATGGCTGGGGGTGTTACCGGCCTCAACGTTAGAAATGAAATGCTGAAAAGTGGTTTACTGAGTTTCTCTTGATCTGAATAATGGATTTGCACAGATTTTCATGGCGATACTCGATTTTTGTAGTGTGGAAAATATTTATCGTTAAAGGTATTCATTTAGTTTGCTTAAAATAAATGTTTGAGCTTCGAGTAAAAGGAATCACAAACAACTTCAATAGTAGCAGCACTCACATTTTTACTTTAAGCGATTACATGCAACATCATCCTGAAGCAACTCTTATTCCATTACACATGTACCATTTGATGATGCTCATTTCCTCCTGGAAATGGAGACTCTAGGCATTCTTTACTAACACAAGCCTGCTCTGGCTCCTAGACACTGTGTCCAGTCCGTGGAAGGAAATGTTTGTACATTTCGTACTAATTTCAAAAAACAACCCCAAGTCTTTCATGTAACTAGACTGTACTTCTGCGAAGGTCTACTGCCCCTTTGTGAGGGCAGGTACTAAAGCAGTCGTCTGTGACTGACTTGCGATGGCGACATCCACCTTCAACGAGTTAAGGTATAGATGGTATAAATGGCTAGGTATCTGCGAATCAATAAACCACTAGACCGAGCTGCGGCCGATCTCCAGTGTTTCTGTCGTGTCACTACACGTGCAGCTTTGAAGCTACGCATGATGCGGCCATGCAGTCATATTCATGGTGGCCCATGGTACCAGTCGCGCAACAAACATGTGGTAATGGATCCACTGGAGTGATCGCCCCAGCTGCCAGGCATCTGCCAGGGACCGTAGCCGAGAGGCCCCGAGCCCCCGCCTGCATCCGCATCATGCGCCCCACCAGCTTGAACCCCAAGGCCCCAAATCCACGCACCACCAACTAAAACTGCCCACTGGCAAGCAGCGCTGGACGTCAGCTCCAATGCCGCAGCCTGCAAGGAGCAGGCACTGACACTGCCAGGTACAAAAGGCCGGGCTTCCCACCCCCCCAATGACAATTGTAAACCGGGTCCGGCCGCCAATTGCTGCTGCCTCTGCTTGTCGTGCTTCAACCCCGACTTTGACTACATCATCCCACATCCACACGCCACCAGCCGACATTCTTCCCCATCAAAGACAGCAAAATCGCGTGGCACAAAGAGCATAGAACGGACCCGCGCATATCGGAAATTTTCTTTGACGCGTCTTGGGAACTTAAGCTCGCCTCAGTCCCCCGATTTTCTCTTCCTGCTCCCAATTTCCTTTTGTACCCCCCATCCATCCATATACCTAGTCTCCACCAGAGCCCCCACCTACCCGCGCCGTCAAAAGACCGTACGGAACATTGTATCACCGCCACCCGTCTCCGTTTGCAGCTGTGGCGTCAGTGTGGCTCAGCAGACGAACACTGTTAGAGCGAGAGCACCCCAAGCGTCAACTGAGCTCCCCACCGTAATCCATCCCGCCGTCTCCCGCCCTTCCGCCGTCACATTTAAACCCCCCCGAAAGCTTCGACGGTCCAGACCCAGACCGAGACATCATCACCAGCTCTTCGACGAGTGGCTACCTACGAAGGGCCATCCATTACAACTTACCACTGCTGGGCGGCGTCTCTATACAAGCTTGAAATCTTTTAAACACCGATCCATCACTGATTCGGCTACGCAATCAGCTAGCACGACCTGACGACCGCGTCTTGCCTTGCTCCAACTGCGGCACCCCACCCTCGTCACGACGCGCCTCGGTGCCATGGGATTGGAGGCTACATCATCAACCATCTTAACCAATATTAGAGGTGCCTCTTGAGTACGCCGACTCAGCTTCTCCTTGCACGCAGCTACCCTTCTCTTTTCTTTTACGCGCTTCTGCTTCTAACGCACGCCAGAATGGGCAAACTCCTGTCTCTCGGCGCGCGCCTGCGCTATCCCATTACTATCACGAAGCTTCTCAAATCCAAAGGCGACACCATAAAAAAACAGGAGCCCGTCCTAGAATATTCTTTCAAGTTCATGAAGGAAGTCGGCGACCAGTTCTCCGACAACCTCCACCAGGAAGAACAAACCGCCATCAGCGAATGGGCCAGCCCGGTCGATGGCAACTTTGAGAGATGGCGTCTCCGTGAGGGCGACGTTATAGTTCGCGATATGCCCTGCATGGAGGTCGAAGAGCCTTGCGACCATGCCATCCAATTCCACGGCCTCTGCGCCGTCTGCGGTCAGGACATGACGGAGGTCAACTGGGCCAGCGACCAGATCGACACGGACCGCGCTACGGTCAACATGACCCACGACCAGACTGGACTCATGGTTAGCAACGATATGGCCGCTCGTGCCGAACATGATGCCCAAAGACGTCTCCTACGTCAGCGCAAGCTGAGTCTTGTCGTCGATCTCGATCAGACCATCATTCATGCCTGCATTGAACCCACTGTGGGCGAGTGGATGAACGACCCCGAAAACCCGAATTACGACGCTGTCAAAGACGTGGAGAAGTTCCAACTAAACGACGAAGGCCCCCGCGGTGTCACACAGGGATGCTGGTACTATATCAAGATGCGCCCAGGGCTCAGGGAGTTTCTCGAGAAGGTGGCAGAGCTATACGAGCTGCATGTCTACACCATGGGCACGCGCGCTTACGCTCTCAATATTGCCAAGATTGTTGACCCCCAGCAGAAGCTCTTCGGCAACCGCGTCATCAGCCGTGACGAGAACGGCAGCATCACATCGAAGAGCCTTCAGCGCCTTTTCCCCGTCAGCACGAATATGGTTGTCATCATTGACGACCGCGCCGACGTCTGGCCGCGCAACCGCCCCAACCTCATCAAAGTGGTACCCTATGACTTCTTCAAGGGCATCGGCGACATCAACTCGAGTTTCCTCCCTAAGCGGAGGGATATTCTTCCCGCACCCGCCGACGTGCCCAACGGTAAAACGGCCGCCAACGCGTCACCCAACGTCACACCCGAACAAGCCCAACCCCATACGCCAGCCAAACCATCTGCGCTCGACGAGCTCGTCAGCATGTCGAGCGGCAACGACAAAAAGCTTCAGGCCGAACAGACGGAAGAGCAAGAGCGTTCGCTGGAGCATCAGATCACGGATCGCCCTCTCGCGCACATGCAAGAAGTTCTTGATAAGGAAAAGGAAGAGAAGGAAAAGGCAGCACCTGAAGAGGACAATGAACCCATTCACCGTGGTCAGGTTCTCCGTGATGACGACGAGGAGCTCCAGTTCTTGCAGTCGCACTTGACGCGTCTCCACGGCGATTTCTTCGAGATATACGACGCGCGCCGTGCTTCTCGGAGGGAGTCGCCCCCGAGGCAAGCACCATCCCACGACAAGCCCCGCAAAGCGTCATACGATGACGGCGTCGACTTGTCCATGGTGCCCGACGTCGGAGAGGTACTCGACGACCTCAAGGCCAAGGTGCTGCAGGATACCGTGATTGTGCTGTCTGGCTTGGTGCCGCTCGGCATCGACGTCACTCAGTCTGAGATTGGCCTCCAGGCTATGAGTTATGGCGCCGAGATCCAGACGAAGGTGTCTAGGAGAGTTACTCACCTCGTCGTGGCAGCGGCGCGAACCGGGACGCAGAAGGTCAAGCAGGCGTCGCGCATCTCCAGTATCAAGATTGTCAACCAAAATTGGCTGTCTGACTGTTTGAGCCAGTGGAAGCACGTCGATGAGGCACCATATCTCGTCGACGTTGAGCCACACCAGCGTAGGCACAACGGGACGGCTGAGGACACAGCATCTGAAGACGGCCGGCCGACGCTGCGATTGCTGGGCTTGGACGGCGAAGAGCAGATTTTGGAGGACGACTCGGACGACGGCGAAGAAGACTTTGCACCCGATGACAACGGCCCCATGAGTCCCATTGAGACACTCGAAGGCTTCAACTGGGGAAGCGTCGACGATGAGCTCAATGAGTTTATGGCCGGCGACAGCGACTCTGAGGGGACGGACGGGGAGTCCCGCGCTGACGACGAAGATGGCGACAGCTCGGACGCTGAGTCTACCTCGCATTCGGGCACCAAACGGAAAGCCGAGGACACCGAAGACGAGTCGGAGGATGGCTCCGCCCTCGCGAAGCGCCAGCGAGTCGCAAAAGACCGCGGCGCCTCCAAGCTCAGTGCCGTCCGCACTTCAGGCGGCAGCGGTACCGGAGAAGAGACGGCCGAGTCTAGCAGCTTGCCTACACCGCAGGTCACAGGCGACGAGGACAATCTTGCATACACCAATGGAGCCAGTCAGGCCGCGAGCCAGGCCGACACCGATGACCTCGACCTCGAGGCAGCCATGGAAGCCGAGATGGAGAAGGAACTGGCCGCTGCCGCTGGCTAGAGGACGCCGTTGGCCGTCTGTTGAGGGGAAGGAGGCGAGGCGAAACACGACACGAGGCACGCGGCCACGCGCTGGTGCAAGTGCGATTGGACAATGGTATCAGTTTCTTTTTTATACCCCATCTCGCGTTGCAGGCAGGCATGGCAAAGGGGGCACACACGGCGCGGCGCAGGCGTTTGACTGGGCTTGGCTTCCGGGGAGCGTTGATACTTGTTGATTTGGTGTTGGAAGCGTGCAAGTGTAGATGTATGATTGAAGTACCACATGGTATGCGTATTGCTCATATGACTTTCTTGTTCTGTGATGTGAGTGAGGATGGTGGGATCATGAACATGTGAGTTTGTGCACAATGATGTTTCTTCTCGATGCATTATTCAAGGATCTGTCAAGTACGTGCTTTTGGGTCGCTCAACAGAGCGCCATGTTGGCGTGGGATGGGAGTGACCTTCTAGCAGTTCCCAAGACAATGATTAAATTCTTATGCGCTTGCATACTCGCTTGCCCCGAAGTCGCTTCATCTAGCTACCTCTGAGGATGATCCTAATTGCGGAAAGCCGGGAGCCAGTCTCGTTGAGTCCAGGTCGGTGAGCCAGCGAGCCTCGCAAGCTCGGTGAGGGAGGTGAACACCAGTTGTGGACCCGCCACCGTGTACATCCAATCAGCATCTCCCTTATGTAATCCCGAAAACAACCTCAGAGCAAGCTCAACCTCCATCATCGACCACTACTACAATCATATCACGACCTCCCCTCCACGCCAATTGCCTGCTCCGACTGCGCTGCTTCGAACGTGGCGACCTTGGCCCCCGAAGACCGACCGAATCCCGAGAAACGCGCGACAGCGACATATCGCCATCATGCCCCAGGACATGCCGCCCGTGGGCGGCTATAATGCCGTTCAATACAAGGTGGGTTTACCGATCGATCCCATCGTGGCCGACAGCCAGGCCAATTGGGCTCAATACAGTGCATCAATGCCTCTTCAGCACCGATAAACTTCAACGAGACTCCGCATCAGGCCCCAGGCGCCCATACAGACTTCTCCCCGAGCAACGCCGGCTAACGCTTCTCCTAGCGCAACCTCCCCGCCCGCGGCTTCCGCCCTGGAATCCTCCTTCTCGGAATGGGCGCCGTCATGGGCTACGGCTGGTACAAACTGATCAAGGGCATCCGCGAGGCCAAGTACGTCCTCGTTCCCCCCTCCCGCTTTGCCTCGTCTTGCTTCGGCTGCGTAGCTTGGAGCCGTTGACCAATCCTCCCTCGAACAAAGAACTGACCACCGTGCCAGCGAGCTCGCCCGTGAGAAGATGTGGGCGCGCATCCACCTCATTCCTCTCCTCCAGGCCGAGGAGGACCGCGACCAGATCCGCCGATGGTACGCCGACCAGGCGCGCGAGAAGGAGCTGCTGGGCGAGAACACGCGTGTGTACCACACGGACAGGTAGGACTGACTGGACGGCTTGCTGTAGAGGGCCGTTTGCTAACGAGGCGCAGGTTTGTCCGACCTACGTTCGCTGTTGCGCCGGAGAAGACGAAATAGGCGGGAGGCCGGGTCGGGACAGGAGACTTGGGGGAACAGGGAAGAAGAAGAGCCATACCGGGCACGAAGCCGTTGAAGAAGGGGCGACAAGATCAGAGACTGTGCTTCACTGTGTTGGAATACGCAGCGAGCCGTGTACATATGGTAGTACGGAGAATGGACATCGTTCAAACTACGGGGTTGTTTGTTCGTGGGGCGTCTTCACGTCGCCTTGGGGATGCCGGATATCGAGAAGCTGACAACAGATGACGATGGTCGACTATATTTGAACGAAGACGAGCCTAAAAAAGCCACAAATTACTAGCAATGGATGGGAAAGGCACCGAACTGGAAACAATCAATTGGCGCTTCGAAACAACACTGGATACTATTCTCGGCCACGACCCTGGCAAGAACAACGTATGGCATGCGGTGGGCGAGGCCGAAGCTATTTCCTTGAAAATGAAGCGACGGAAAACGAGGCACGACGGTCATGATAGGTGCGACGACGTGGTTTTAAGCTGTGACAGGCTCGATTTCTATTTGCGTTATGGAGGACGGCCGGGGATTCGGCCTCTGCTTCTCAATGAGGATGTCACGGCAAGGGCGAGTACTTCTAACGACCAACACATACACAAAGGATCCGTTCTCACAGATATGAACAGCATCCATCAGACTATTCGACCAGGACATTGTCACCAGACGAACGACAACCAAACGACAGGAATGCTAGAGCCAACTGCTACCCCCTTTCATTAGTTCTCTCGTGCCTAAATACTCGTCTTGATGTTAGATGCTAGGTATGCTGACTTCGCACGAACAAATATACCAACAGTATTGGCGACTTGGGCGACAGACGTCAATGATCTCGCGCGTCAGGCTTCAGGGCTCTTCATCGTGTCCCGAGCTTTACAGCGATTTCCGCTGAATTGTCGACCGCATGGAACCCTGACGACGAGCCTCAACTATAATGATAAGCTTGCGGCGCTCGATAAGAAGCACTATGAGTAACACCAAGCCAGTTCTGAGCCAGGCGAGGCATGCGACATGCGACATGCGACCCGCCCTAGCTTCGTGTTCACGAAGTCCCCCCATCCAGAGTAGTATGCCTTAATTGCCTCAATTGGTGAGGGCGGCAGCACCCTGAAACTTGGAGCGAAACTAAAAAAAAAACATGTTGCAAATTCATATCAGCACGCCTGACACTCATTCAGGGACTTTCCAATCAGGTTCCACATGCGCGCGTCTCACTGATGGACCAAGCATTCTACCGCTGTGTGCTGTTGGGATCCGCTTGACGGGCGCCTAACACATGACCTAATTAACAGCTCGGATTGTCGTCAGCAGTCAAACAAACGACCAACACATCAGCACAATCAATTAACATCATCACCTGTCGCGTCCAAGCTCTAGAGCCCACAGCATGGCCGTTGAGACGACTGTCAAACTCGCGGTCCTTATTGATGCCGACAATGTCTCCCCGGCCATGGCGGCACCTCTTCTCGCCGAAGTTGCCAAGTTCGGCACGGCGTTCGCCCGACGAGCCTACGGCGACTGGACTGGCAACAGTCTCCGAAGCTGGAAGGAGCAGCTGCTCACGCAGTCGATCCAGCCCGTCCAGCAATTCGCGTACACGTCGGGCAAAAACGCGACCGACTCGGCCATGATCATCGACGCCATGGACCTGCTGTACACGAATCGCTTCGACGGCTTCTGCTTGGCATCGAGTGACAGCGATTTCACCCGTTTGGCGGCCCGCATCCGCGAGTCGGGCCTGGTCGTGTATGGCTTCGGCGAGCGCAAGACACCCAAGCCATTCGTCGCAGCGTGCGACAAGTTTACTCACTTTGAGAACATTCTCTACAATGACGAGCAGCTCGTGGCCGTGCAGCCGTCATTGCCAGTGGTAGCTACAGTGCCGACAGCCAAGGCGAGCACCAGCAATGCATTTCTGGCCCAGCGATCCTCACAAGCAGTGCCGTCCTTGAGGAACGAGGCTCAACTGGCAAAGCAGTTGCGCATGGCCATCGAGGCAGCTTCAGACGAGGAAGGCTGGGCCAACCTAGCCAAAGTTGGCGGTCTCATCACGAAGCAGCATCCCGACTTTGATCCGCGAACGTACGGCTTCACCAAGCTTAGCGAACTCGTCATTGCGACCGAGCTGTTCCACATCGACAGACGAAGTCCAGGTGCCGGAAAGCCAATGGTCATCTACGCTAGGGACAAGCGGCAGCGGCGTTTCGGCGCACTCAGTCATGGCGCTTGAGGGCTCTTCGCTGATGAACTATGGGGTGGGGGTATGCATGCATTATGGAGATGAGATTCTGGTCGTAATGAGAGTCAAGGATTGAAAGGTCTCCCAGCCCTGCCGCGATCTGATTCAGAATGCTTCGCGCTGTCTTCATCGATCAGTGGCAAGGGGGAGAGAGATCTTCTCGCCCATGGGAGAAGTAGTCGACAATCATCTGATCACATGGCGGTGGTTCATTGTATTCACACCTTCGTGATTGTAAGGAATCACCTTTGGTTTCCTGCCGAGCGGAGATGAGAGTCATCAGGTAATAGGTGTCTGCCACAAAACAACCTCGACTATCTTACATGCTTCTGTGTTTCTATCTCGTCTTTGACCAAGACGGCCTTCCGAGGCTTAATGCCTACTGCCACAGCATGTCATTCGCTCGACTCTCTCAAAGATGATGGGATGAATGGGCGCTTCGGAAAGCAAACCCCTATTAATATTTTCATCCAGCTCCCTCAAAGCTCGCCTGCCATCGGCCTTTTCCGTGTAGTACTGCTCTCCGAGCCTTGTCTTGTATGTGCTATAGACATTAGCAGCGACCAAACGCATCTCAGCCCAGGCAAGGCTGTGCCCGTTAGCAGATTGGTACCCCGTTCAGGACTCCGAGACTCACTGCATGCCGATGCACATCCTTGGGCCACTTCCGAATGGCCAGAAACTCTTCTGCATGTCTTTGAATTGCGGACTGGCCCGCGAAATATCCCATCGTTCGGGATTCCAGTCATTGGGCTCATGGAACACGTCGGGATCCATGTGGAGGCTGACTGACTGTACCGAGACTCGTGCCTACATGTCGGTCAACTTGGTGAACCATGATCATCTTGGAAGCTAGGCCACTGACTCCGCCTGGGACGAAGTGCCCATCAACTGTCATGCCGCCACTGCGAGCCTTCCGAGTCAGGGAAAAAGGGGTCGGTGGATGCCGTCGAAGGGTCTCGCGGAGCACGCAGTCTAGGTAGGTAAGCTTGGTGAGGTCATGGATATGAGGCGGAGATTCCGGCGTGATACTGGCCGCACGAAGCTCTTGCTGAAGACGCTGTTGACGAAGGGCGTTTTCGGGGCGCGAAAGCTCGTAAAGCAACCAGGAGAGCGCATCCGGGGTCGTGGAGGACCCTACAAGTTATTTGTTAGCGGACGCAAGATGCAAGACGGGATGGTGCGTACCGGCCAGCCAGTGATCCAGGGCTTCGCCTGCAATGTACTTCTCATCAGGCACGGCCTCTGAGCTGCCATTTGCCTTTTGATGTCTCGCGAGCTGCATCGCCACCGATGTGCTCGCCATCTGAGCTCTCGACGTCAAGTTTCAAAGCCTTTGGCGTGGCCTCGAGAGCCCATCTCTGGGTATCCGTCATTGTAATGAACCAGGAAGGGAACATACCCTCCAGCACTTTGCTCATGCCTGCCGAGGTGAGCAATGAGCGCCGAAGCAGGCAGGGACCTACTCACGAGGGAACCACGCCATCATCAGAACCCTCAAAGAAGAAGCCTCCTCCTCTATCTGGCTCGAGCTCAAATAATACGACATGCTCTCCCTCTGGCCCTCCTTATCTCCCAGTAAGTCTAACCCACCAGCATCACCGAATGAGATTCTCGACATGATATCCGCAGCCAGCCACCGCAACTGCGGCCACACATCAACCCCACGACTGCCCGCTGCCGTCCTCTCCGTCTCCAAATTGCTCATGAACCTAGCAACAAGCTCGCGAAGCATCTCTTGCACAGCAGTCCCCCCCACGACAGGCACGAAATACCCCGCGGCGACGGCCCTCCTCCGCCGAAAATGCAGGTCCCCGCACCGCGTGCTGACTAGGTTCTCTCGCCCAAACTGTTCCAAAGACATTGCGTCGCCACGAGGCCGATCGAGCCGGGGCTTGTGGTTATAGATATCCCCCACTGCGCGCGGTGATGCGAAGCAGAAAGTGGTGGGACCGATCTGCACCGCTGGTCCGTATTGCTGGTGTAGTGAATGGATCATCGCGGTTCGTTTGCCTCTTCACTCGTCAATGCTGGCTGGGGAGGAGCAGAGATGCCCGCAGTATGCAGGGAAAGGGGTTAGCTTGCAGGGACAGCTTACCTTTGAGGTCGAATCTTGCCATCCAGAGATCCATCATCTTAGCCCAGAACGGACCAGGGACATTGGAACGAGATGACATGATGTTGGGAGGTCAGGAACATGAGGAACTGTCCACTTGAATGGAGATCAAAGGAGAGACAAACAGCTGACGGGGAAATGCAAAAGAGTCAAGGAGGCAACTGCGTCTCCTTCTGTGTGTAGCCTGAACACGACAGCAAGGGGTAAAGAAGCACCGGCTCGAACAGGCCTGGGGAACCCTCGACCTCCTCTTGAGTAATAGTACGGCGACTTTACAAGTGTCCGCAGCGCGAACCTCAGTCACCAAGAGCCGGTGCCTTAGGCTGGCGCTAGAGTCACAACGGACCCGGCCACGCCCGGCACCCAACCGCGACTTGAGATCCGTGTTCGTATTCTCTGCGCAAACACCACAGCCACCACGCCTGTTTCCATGTAATCGTATTATTAGCAATACCTCTATCAGTTTCGTCATGACTGTCGTGATCGGGTCACTGAAAACAAGCCTCGTAACCCAAACGCCTAGCCAAATGTGTGAGAACAAACATCCATATCAGGCTGGCGTGTCCCAGACCATCGTCCCGCACCTCCTCACATAGGCTCCCACGAATCGGCTTGCTAAGCAGCAACCTGCGACCCGGGGCTACTGCCCAGCACCTTGCTGCCTAGACTCTTGCTGTCGGCTCTCAGGGTTCCCATGCCAGGGACATGCCCACCGCTGGCAGATGCATGCATTGCCGAAAGTCGCTGTGTGACCACGTCCGGGTCCGGCTCGTCACCGCCGATAAAGGTCCAACTCTCTTCCTCTTCCTCCTCATCCGCATCTGCATCGGGGTCTGAGCCCGTCCTCGCGTCAGCCTGCTGGCCTTGGGCTCCCTTGCGATTCTTGTCGCCCTTGCGCTTGACGAGGCTTGTGGCGTACTCCATATCGCGGTAAATGCACTGAATGGCGCTCTCGACACCGTTTTCCTGTATATGTTAGTACTCGTTGATCTGACTTGACGGGGCTTATCAAACACGTACCTTGCGAATTTGCTCGCCCAGCACGCGCGCCTTTATGATCATGCGCTCGTTGTGCGTCGCCTCCCATAGAGCGCGCGCGAAGCTGGTGGCCCCCCACTTCTTCAGGCAGATACCAACCCCAATGTCCTCAACCCGGTTACCGAAGAAGAACTGGTCGCCAAAGAACGGACGAATGATTGTCGGGATGCCTGCTCGTAGACTCGCGCCCGTGGTGCCGCTGCCGCCATGGTGCGCCGCGGCGTCAATCTGCGAGAACAACCAGTCGTGCGGGGCGCTCTTGATGACGTGAATCTCGGGTGGCATGACTGGCTCCTCGCGCTTAGATGCCGCAGCAGCATCATCAGTGCCGGCATCGCCGCTGTTTGCCACGCGGTCTGACCAGCCCTTGGAAAGGATGCAGCGCACATCGGCCTTGAGTACTGCATCAATGACCTCCTGCGTCATCTTGGCTGTGTCGTTGACAATAATGGAGCCAAATCCAACGTAGACGAGCTTCTTATCGTCGGCACGCGCCTGAGCAATAAAGTCCGTCAGCTCCTTGGGCGGTTCCCACTTGGTCGCTTCGTCCAGGAACCAGTATCCTGTAACGCGAATCCAGTCGGAAAAATCGAGCGGCGGTGCCACGACCGAGGGCGAAAAGTTGTACAAGAACGGGACCTTGTTCGGCTGCATCTTCTCGAGGTTCGTGTTTGGCAGCTTGAGCGTCTTGTTCCTCCAGCGGTTGACCTGTCCTGCCGTCGCCTTCCAGAAGATGTTGTCGAACATGATGTACGTCATGTAGTTGTAGGCACCGCCCAATTTCGACTCGGGCACCACAAAGGCGTGTGGGTACGCTCGCGTCCGCGTCCATGGCATTGTGAAGGCTCGGAAGTATGGGATGCCAAGGGCTTCGGCAACATGAATGCCCGCCATGGCACTCGGGCTCTCAATCAGCAGGTCCGAACCCTGGCAAGCCTCCCAAGCTGATACAAGAAGTTCGTCCAGCCAGCCACGGAACATTGAGTTGGCTTCGCGAATGAAAGAAAATGTGAAGGTGCCATTCTCAATACACAGCCGCATGAGTTCACCGGGATCGCCTTCGACCTTAGCAAACTCGATCCCATGACTCTCGATCCACGGCTGGAACTCGGCGTGTGTTGCGATGCGCGGCCTGTGGCCCTCGGCGATGAGCCCCTTGCATAAAGCAATGTATGGCTGCACGTCACCCCGCGAACCAATAGTCAGGCAGGTGACCTTGAGCGACTGTGCGGGCTTGAAGTTGAGGAAAGATGCCTTGGGGTCATCGAAAAGAATCGTCGGAGCGTCGCTGAGGCAGGATGTCTGCTTGGGCAGCTTGACCTCGTGATCTTGGAACTCGTCCTGGCGAGCCTCCTTGAGGGCTTCCCTCTCAGCCAGCGCATACTCGGCATCCTCCTTGTCCTCCTGGTTGAGCATGCCAGAGTTATGCAGGAAGCGCGACCGCTCGACACTCTTCAGGAGATGGCCGAAGCAATCCTCGCGCGCGTCGCGCTGGCTGAATTCGAAAAACACCTCCTCATGACCGCGGATGACTAGAACCAATCCAGAGTATCCAAATCGGAATCCCTTCTCCTTATCGACATTCTCGATATCCTTAAGAGGGAGAATGAGCTTGGTTCGGGTTCCAGGGAGGAGGCTGCGGAAACACAGGAAACGGTCGCTGATGTAGATCTTGCCGTAGAGCGGCAACACCTGGAACAGGAAGCCATAGTAAGTCACCTGCAGCTTCTCCGTCTCAGGCAGCGCGAAGTGCGCGCGGAACCGCTCTGTCGATAACTGGACCCTCCCCTCCGAATCCTCATACAAATCCTCGTCATCCGTACGCGTTTCGGGCGGCGCATCGTAGTGCTTCCGGTTGCCCTTCCACATACCAGACACCTTTTCAACATAGCCCATGGATTCGGTCGCCAACATAGAGCTCATGCGGCGGCTTGAACTGTTCAGGTACTCGGCAAAGGCACCGACCCGTTGCAGGGGATAGGCGCCCATCTTCGTGATGCTCTGTAGGGAGGGGCCTTTGTTGGGATCATCGGCTATCGAGCCTGTTGTGGCAGCGTGTTGGCCGGAATATGTTGCAAGAGCAGGAGGTGATTGAGTACCTTGGACCGTCTTCTTAGACGAATGTCGTGTACGCGATCCCGAGCGGCGCATGGTCGGGCTCTGGAAAACGTCACTACGATGTAGTATCTGACTAGCTGAGGCATCTTCATTAGATGAGGCCGCCATGGCAGAGAAGCTCGGATCCTCCATCGATGACTGGACGTATGAATCGGATGACTCGTTCTTGTCAACCGTGTTGCGTGAATCCTCGAGTCGGTTTCGGCTGTGCGAGCGGCTGCCACTGAAGCTGCGACGCGGAGAGGCATCACGAGTGACGCTCGACAAGTCAAGACTTTTGCGACCAAAGACCCTGAAAGCGTCCATGCTAGACCTGGCCACATCGGCGCTAGGTCGAGGACTTGGTCCGAGAGGACTTGTCGGTGACATGGGCGACAATGTAGCCTTGACATTTTCGGGCAGTCTGGCAATGCCAATCTTATCAGGGCCTATACTGCGTCGGTTTGCAGCAATCGACGTCCGCGCAGAGGCGCCCTTGGGCAAATCTGCGGGATCCTTCGTCTCGGCCGACGCACCCTCAAACATGATTTTCAACACGTTGATGGCTTCCTGCCGAAGCTGAAGAATGAGAAGAAGTACTCGTCAATGGCGTATGTTTCGTCATTGTCGATGACGCGAATCTTGCAGGTGTCGGCAAACTGCAACATCTGACTATCTTCAATGTCGATAACATTCTCGATGGGCATGGAAATCTTGACGCTGTCACCGTCATTGTGGGATCGGAAGATGACGCGCTGCAGGCTCTTAACCCATTCCTTTGCGCTCGGCGCACTGTCAGCCCGGAAATGATAGGTGCGGTGGCTCGTCGTCACTGAAAAGTGTAGGCCAGCCTTGTCCTTGTCGGTGATGCTCGCAGAGATGCCATAGCGGAGATCGATCTGACCGCTGGGAAAGTAGACGTTGGAGGGGTCGCGGTAGTAGGTAAGAACGTCACCCTTCATACGGAACCAGTAGCGGTTGTACTTGGGGTTGCGTTTTCCGGATTTGGAGAGATAGCCCGACTTGACAACCTCGTGCTGTATCCATTAGTGTTTGATAGGCGAACGAGGAAGGGGAGGGACATACGGCTTTCTTAGGAAGATATGCATAGAAACAGATGTGCCTGGCTGTAATATACATGTAACCTTGCAGGAGTACGCTCTGGAGGAGCCAACATGGGTATTCTAAGACGAGTTAGCTCCCTGCAAATGGCTGAAAGACAAAGCAGACGGGGCCCAACATACCCTCAATGACCTCCTCCGGCTTGGTGAACTCGAATATCTCGGCTAACCGCAGCGCCAAAGGGCTCGGTCCCAAGTCGCTCGAGTCACGGCGAGAGTGCTCACTTGTCAGACGGTCGAGGTCGAAACTCGGCCGCGAAGCCACGTCCGCCCGGGCCTCGAGCATGCGGCTCATGACGGGTGCTAGTTTATACTGATCCTGGTCCTCCTCAGCCGACTCGGGTTGTGAGGATTGCGGCACGGAGGACTCGCTTGCGTCTTCGGACGGGGGCTCTAGCTTTGACGATTCTTTCTTGGACCTCCGTTTCCCGAGGCGAGGCAGAGCCTGAAGAGACCGGGCGATAACGTTGCCTGCCGAGCCGGACCGACGATGACGGCGTTCCTTAGTCGCTTTGCCAATGACGGTCGTTTTGGAGAGGTTAGACTCTGGTCGCGGCGACGTGGCTGTGTGCATGTCAGGCTTTGTCGTCTGGTGGCCCGACTCGTCGTCGTCGTCACTCGATTGGCCCTCGAACCGATCGTGAAAGTCGACTCGCGAACCGGCAGCAGCAATGAGACCGAAGATACTCTGGTTCATGTTCATGAACATGGGAGGTCCATTTTGTGTGTTACCGGCAGGCATAAGGTCTTCCTCGTCTTCACTGTCATTTCCGCCCTTTAGCCTTTCTGGCAGGTCCATGGCGTAGGTTTCGTTGCGACGTTTTCTTCGAAGCTTCCTGGCCACGCGCTTCTTGGGGTCCTCGTCGGTGGGCGTAGGGGTGGGTTGGGCAGAGTTAGGACTGGCAGTTGTAGGAGGGAGGGCCGTCGAAATGGGCGGTAGGGAGGGATGTGTCGGCGCCATGACAGCGGCTGGTGGCGGGCAGCCGTAGAGGTGTGAAGAGGTATCCGCCGAAGAAGGGGGCGTGTCGGAGGAAGGGTCAGACAGGTTGCGGTGGCAGGATCAAGATAGGGAGCTAACTGATTTGCAGGCTGACAGCAGGCAGAAGTAGGTAGTTTCGGGAGTCGCCCAGCTCGAGGCACAAAGGTCGAAGAGGATCCGAAATGTCCGGACACTCGATCAGTCGGTCAAGTTCGGAGGAGGCGGATGGGTGGGTAGTAGGCTTTCGGTGGTTGGCTTTCGATCGGTCAGGCGACTGGGCGGTTGGTTGCCTGACTAGGCTGAGGATGGGTGCCGGTATATTTCAGGGTTGCACGCCTCCATTGGTGATGATAGATCTGTCATGGATGTTGGTCTGCATCAGTTGCCCGTTGAAGCAACAATGGAGAGTCGAGGACCCAGACACGGACACGCTGGGACCCTGGGAGCTGGAGGAGGGGGCAGGAGCCTGGATGGTCAGCTAAGGGTTGGCGCCATCCGCTGCCGGGCCGGGGGTCAGGGTACTATCTGAATCATGATTGGCTGTGAGGTTACTTGCTGGGCGTCCTGGTGGGGGTTGTCTCCCCTGTAACGAGCGCTATCAACCATCGCGATAGCGATAACAGCCTAGAATCGAAGCCACTGGCCCGTGGGCTGCCCTGGGCCATCTGGCACGACTGCCTGGCCAAGCCTACCAAAGGCTCCAATGACGACAACCGATCCCCACACGGGCACCACGTCCCTTGAGAGGAACCCACAATGTGCCTCGTGCTACTAGACCCCGTCACAGGGCGCCCTCAGTTTCCCTATCCACCATCACCCGATCTATCACATGCGATGTTCCATGACTCTATCAGCAGGCTTTCCTCTTTCGGATTTCATCCTGATGATATTGATCAGATCATACTCGCATCTGCCAAATGTAGGTGGCAGCTGGCCAAAGAAACATTCCTTTTTGCTATGGTTTTATCGTGGTGACGGTGCACAATAAGCTTATCCTTTTGTGGGCCGTTGAGCAGTGCCCCAAATTTAGCACTCAACCCGAGGATTCCCTGCCGCTCGGAAAGCCTCCGCCCAAAGGCCAACCGAGTAACGCAGCTCAAAGTCGCAAGTTGATCTTCCCTGAGAAAACCTCGGACTACAGGGATCAGCCCTCGAGCCCTGCGATCTATCAAATTGGACTTCCATGAATAAGATGACAGGTTCATGCTAGCCATAATAAAGCCGAATAAGCGTCTTCGTCGTCATCACCACCTGTCAGTGTAGCTAGAGTAACGAAGGTGAAAACAATGCTGGGAGCAGAAAGACTGATAGCAAACTCTTGCACTTTGACTTGTCCGTCTATTGCCATCACGAAACCATCGGTCAGAATGGAGACCTCAGAATTGAGACCTCTAAACAGCAGCCTTTACCTAGAGCACTTCATTCTACATCGTCAAACCTGCCTGCCATAGCCCGGAACAGGATTACATGTAGTGACATGTTCTTTAGATTCAGCTCTGAGTGATGAGCAATGCTCGTGCACAGCTGCCTTGCCAGGCCTACATCAACATGATAGAGCCACAACCCAATCCGCGGACAAGCACGACGGCATACCAGCCAACCCTTGAACACCCTCGCTTGAAAACATCCAAAGGACAAGACCAATATTCATACAACATCTCATGCGCTCACATCCAGAGCGTCAACTTGCCACTGCCGTTGCCTCCCGCGACCCAGTCCAGGGTAGGGTGAAAGTGCGCCACCGCCGGCACTGCAGTGATGCCATCGCCGTCGAGCTGAGCGATTTGCTCGCCATCCGCTGCAAAGACATCCACGAACCTGTTCATGTTTCCGATTGTGAACTTCTGGATGCCGTCCCTTGGCTGCAGCTGCCACTTGGGCTTGAGAATGGTGACCCATCGACCGGTCTGGTTGTTGTGTTTGACCTGCACCGCCGGCCCCATATTATCTGCGCCAATGTCGTGGCCCGGCGCCCAGGTGCTGGCAGTAGTAAAGTCATAGATTTTGATCGTGTCGTCGTACGATGATGTGGCGAGATGGCCGGCAGGGCTCCACGACGCATGGGAGACAGAAAGCCTGGACTCGTGCTCACCCAGCAGCGCAGGATGCTGGAGATCGCCCTTGCCGGTTATCTTCCGAAGGTCCCAGATCTTCATCGTTCGGTCGAGCGACGCTGTAGCGACCAGGTGAGGCTGAAGCGGATGCAGAGAGAAGCCGCCGATCTTATTATCGGATAAACTCCAGACTTCGTGCTCGCCTGAGGGTGTCCTAATATCATGACGTCCGAAACCGCCATGAAGTGTCGAAAAGTAGAGTAGGTTCGAATCATTGGTCGGCATCTCCATTGCCGACATGGGCATGTCCTCCATGACATCATCGGGAGCAAATACCTGCACAGACATGCCCTTTTCGAGATCGAGTTTTCGGATCGTCGAATCGTAAGAAGAGGTGTATACGGCGTTGTCGTCGGCTGGTGAGAAGACAAAGGCCGAGGCTGTCTTTGTGTGGAATTTAAAGGCACTGATGATCGGATCAGGCTCGTCCCACTCCTCGTCCTCGTCTTCAGGAGGTTCCGGAGCCTTCTGAGAGGCATCGAACACGCCGATCGCGCCTTCCTTATCGCCCGCGAACACAACAGGCTTGTCCTCTGTAGGATGAAAACCGAGGGAGTAGACCCGCTGAGGCGTGATTTTGATAGCTAGGAGATGTAAGCCGCTTGTTGCTACAGCCAGAACAAAAAGGAATGCAATGCGTCAGTGTCAGGCGAGAAGAAACGTACTGTTTGGCATCCAACCCTCGTAGAGCTTGAGGCCATCCATGCGTAGTCGCAGGTCCTTCAGGTCTTTGTCGGTCGTGTTCTTAATGTCGTCCTCTGTGAACGTCCGCTGGCCAGGTTGAGCACCACGGGAAAGCCCCTTAAGACCCTGTAGACCCTCGAGGCTCGCGCTCCACTTCTTCCCCTCCACAAGGGCATCGCCGAGGTTCAAGTCGCCAGAGAAGCGCATGCGCTTCGCTCGCTCGAGAGGTGACTCGAGTGCCGTGTCCTCAAACGCACGCTTTGCGTCGTCCTTGTCGGGGCCAAGACCAGCGACACGCGAGCTGCGTCGCGTGGCCATGGCTGGTTCGCGCTTGACAGGCGCATCTTTAGATCTCTTCGATGGTTTGGATGCTCGGGTGGGTGTGGGCTTGGACGCCGGTAAAATTTTGCTCGCAGTCGCCGAGATGTCCTTCAGCAGGGCTTGGTTCGCAGCGATGTTCTCGAGACGACGCTTCTCAAAGGCACTCATAGTAGCGGGGGCCTCTTTTTTGACCGGCACCGGCGGAGATTCGGGTTCAGGTGCCGCCTCATCTCGGGTAAGCTCGTCGGTTTCTGAATCTGATTCCTCCTTGTATTGTGGTTTTGCTTTCACCTCTGTTCTCCCCGTCGATCTCCTGGTGACGGGCATTTTGGATTGCGGGATGAGCCACTTGCGCATTTGGTTTGGGGGAGAAAGTGTCCAGTAAAAGAGAAGTCGCAGAGGCCACAAAAGAGGAAGATACGATACTTCCTTCTGAAGCTAATCGAATCAATGACGAATTAGGCAGCCGAGGGGAATGAATGATGGGCACCAGACGAGCAGGCCAGAAGAACGAAGACGCGTTAATTGAATTGGACAAAGCGCGGTGGCTCGCGACGCGAAGTCATGCGCCAGCGCGTCATGGAGATATTATGTAAGACATGCGACCAGGGTCGACCTGCCTTGACATCGACAAAGCTTCAGCAAAATTTCGTAGAGGGTGCCCGGTCGACAGGGGAAACATCATCGACCACCGCAATCATGTCGACATTACTCCCATTCCTCTACCATACGAGAACGCTGCAACGCGCAACATCAAAGACGCCCCTTGCCCTGACCTCGCTGCGATGTTACCACGCCAGTAGCCTTCGCGCAAATCGACGTTCGCAAGATCGAAACCTCGATACCATTCCCTTCGAATGGGCTGGAGAGCCCGCAAAAGAACCTTCCAGGCACGAGGGCAACGCCGAAAACCATGATGGCACCCGTCGGGAGCGAAACAAGCGTCATGCCTCGACCATTACACCAACCGAGAAGCGAGCCTTCAACGACATTTTCGCCGACCTAGCCAAGCGCAGTCGTAATGGCGCCCTGTTCCCTGGCCTCGGCCCCGATGCGCCGCAAGACAGTCAAGACCGAACAATGCGAGCCTTGCGAGAAGCTCTGGGAACGCAAAACCAAGATATCTCCTCCGCATCGGCCGACGCAGACACGCCTGAGTGGATGCTCAAGTACCCTGCTTCCCTGCGCCGTTCAGTGCGTGCTGCATTGGGTCATCAGACCAGAGTCCAAGAAGCCGTTGCAGCAGAGGAAATCAAGCCAGTCGAGGTCGACCCCCTCGTTCAAGAGCAACTAGCAGCGCAAAAACAGGCCCGCGAAGCCGAAATTGAGCGATTCGACTCGCTGGTCAAGGAGTGCCGCACTGATCTGGACGTCTGGAACGTTCTGAACCGCGAGGTCTTCTCCATGATCGACAAGCTAGGAGTCGCAGATGTCTCCACTGTAGCGGCCGAAGAGACGCAAGAGAAGCTCGACATGAACCTCTATGGCCCTCTATACTCCCAGCACCTTCTCCGGGCTCTGAAAGCCCTTGATACGGAGTTCGCCCGATCGTCGCCCCTCGTCTTCAACCTTCTCCCCCGTGTTCGTGAGCTAGGTTTCGCCTCGTACGTCCTTGGCGCTACGACCAGCTTCTTCAACGAACTGGCCACGATTTACTGGCGTCGTAACGGCGACGTCCGCGGTGTCATTGGCCTTCTTCAAGAGATGCAGCACGCCGGCCTGAGCTTTGACAAAGGGACGCTCGAACTTGTCAGAGCCATCGAGGCCTCGTTGGACGGCATGGCCAGCGAGTCACAGGGGCCCTTCACGCAGGTGCTAGCCACGATGCCTGACTACAGCTTCGATGTCCGCGCCCAGCTGACT